GAACCATATCCGGGTGACCTCTCTCAATTTGAAAACAACCTTTTTACTGCTTTGCTTGCTTGTTTGTTTGGACCTTCACTACACTTTCACTGCTAAATAATAAGAATTCACGGAGTAGTCAGCACACTTAGGACCCGGGTTGACATTAAAACCTATACCCGCTATACTACGCTCTAGTAGGTGGTTTCACTTGGCCATTTTCTAGTGTGACGGTAAAAGCGAGTCAATGATCATGATAAGGAATATCCTGTTGTGACAGACCACACCTTTCCCCATTCCCGCTTTGAAGAGATGGGAATGGGTGAGGAGATGCAAGCTAATCTTATCAAGAACCTTACATGGAGACTTGCTCTCCAAGTTGTGCTTGAATATGAGGAAGAAAGGGTGAGATGAGAAGTTATGGAGGAGGAAAAAAGCCATGAAGAGGAAGTTTTTGATCTTCCACAAGGGCAGGAACCGAATCCTGAAGAAGTATGAGGGATTGAAGAAGCGATCGGTGTCCAGGATAAGGACAAAGTTATGATGGATGAGGCTTGCACCAGCCATGAGTTTCATGTGACGTCTTCACCAGACTTCAAGGAGCTGCTGAGCAAGGACCCATTTGCAGTGTCTCTTTTCCAGACCAAGGCCACGCCCCTAGAGATCCCTCTTGGTGTGCACGATGGTGGTCAATTGATATTGTCATACATGGTTTTGGCAATGTGTTGAGAGCATAGGAGAAGAGAGTTCTCAAGGTGGAGACTGCATTCGCACCAAGTACATGAGGCATTTTCATCACTTGTCATAATACATGATCGTGACTTGAGACTCCACTTCATAGACGAGAACCTCAACTTCAAGGAGGTTTTGGTGTAGACCGAAATTTAGGAGCCATCTTCTAGCTCACGACATTCAAGAAGAGCTTGTTGGGAGGCAACCCAATTCATCGGTTTGAATTTCCTTTCCTATTTCTCTTCAGTTGAGTTTTTTTTTACTTTGATTTTAGAGTAAAAAAACTCAAACTTTGTGAGATTTTGTGTGGTGTTTGTGTTCCATCTACTCTCTCATCCATGGAGTGCACCTCCTGACTCCTGTCCAATCTGCCATCTTTCATCACCCGATCCAGTAACTACATTATACCCCCGTTATTTTCTCCATTGAGGATTATGTCGTGATTAAGTGGGAGGGGGCGTTCCATTGTATTTGGGTGTGATGAATGATATTTTTTTGCTTGTCTTGGAGCGTAGTCCATTGTCCAAATTTTTTTAATTTGTGAGCTCCAAGTATATTTGACTTGACTGCATGATCATAGTGGGCATTGTTTAGACTTGTGTTTTGAATCTAGTGGCCTATTGATGTTGTGCATTAGTATGATTGAGACTGCATGTGACCTATGACGATGATTGAGAATTGCAATGAGTTTGTGTCCGTTGTCATTCTTCATTTGATGGCAAAACTGTTGAAAGATGTGTTTGGTTGTTCATTATTCTCGGTTTCTAGGCACGGAGAGTGTGAAAATTGCATGGGAAATTGAGCATCTAGGTATCCGTGTGAGACTTGTTCTTGTTCGTTTCTTTCTTGTGTGATTAGTTCCCTTTGCATGATAATTAGCTTACACTTTGCATGACACCGAATTGTGATACAACTGATTGGGAAGATGGAGGCACAGGTTTAGCCCACGGCCAAATTAGCTACCTATATCATAATATCCCTTACTCAACCCTCGTTGAGTCTTAACATATTCTTTGTTATGATCATTATGTCTAAAGTCAATCCTTGTTCTTCAAGACTACATTTATTTTATCCCTTTTCAAGGTTTCACATGCTTGGTTTTTGCACACTTTTATGCTTTGTTCTAAAAAAGGAAAACAAAAGTTTTGGATGAAATCTTTGAAAAATGTGGTTGTTTATCTTCCGCTCTCCAGGATATTTTAAAAGTAAAAAAAAAGAGAAAAAGAAAAGAATAAGGAGAACAGCCACAAAGCTTGAAATTGATAAGAATAAGAGTCGTTTTCTGGCCCAAAGACTAAGAACTCCTAGATTTTGAAAATTTCCTCCTTTCTTATTTGCTTAAGTGCAATAAAATTGAAAAAGTAGAGAATGAATTAAGTTGTATTTGGTTTGCTCTGAGATCTTGACCATTAAATTTTTTTCACAACGTTGAAGAATTGCTCCCCATGTCTTGGACCCTAACCAAGTTACAACCCTATTAAAAGCCCTCCTGACAAGTTAGTGGTGACCCAAATATGGAGATTCGATTTCCTTACAAAGTGTTAACGATTGGTTTCGTGACAAAGAGATTCTAGGTTTGAGATTTATAACATGCACATCTTTTGCACAAATTATGGTCCTGACCCCACTAGTCGAGTGTTGAGTGATTCATTTTCTATTTTCTAAATCCTGGTGAGGACCTAATTTGCTCGAAATCTTGTTCTGTATGACTTAATCTCTACGTCTGCATAGCTTGGGATGCCAGTTGACTAGTTGCATTTGCAAACAGTTTTATGAGTCTGATGAGGAGTTGTCACTGTCATGAGGTTGTTGTGTTTAAATGTCATTTATGGTGGTTGCCTTTGTCTCCCTTGTGCTGCTCAAGTATAAATGTTGATGGCCGCTTGTGATTTACGAAAATTTTATCCCTATTATTATTCGTAAAAACTATGTTTAAACAATTTGGTGCAAGTAAAGAGTTAAGTGTCGGGGAATTTTATAAAACCATAGCTTCACATGTTTATTCTCTCATTTCTTAGTCATTTGAGCTTGATTTCCTTGCATCTTCGGCCTATTTTATGCTAGGTTGTGTTTGTTTGTCACATTTGAGGTCCTAGCAAGTGAAGGGAGGCATATGCACAAGTCTTTGGTCAATTGAAGGCCGTTTGGGAACTCAAGAGTGGACCAGAGGAAGAAACACGAGCTGGAGAAACACGGTCTTGTTTTGTCCTCTTGAGACTATGTTTTGGGTATCGAGAAGAAACACGAGATGGGCCGAAACATAGGCTTAGAAACACGGTCGCATTTCTGCCACTACTCTAGTATAAGTGCGTTTTCTATCATTTTTGAAAGGGGAGAGCTGGGTTTTTTATCCCAAACACCCAAGGGACGAACCCTAGAGAGTGAGCGACTTGGAGACATTCTTGGAGTGAAAATGAAGGATTTCGTCACCGCTGGAACTTTAAGAATAAGCTTGGAGATAGAGTTTGAAAATCTAGATCAGAATCCTGCATTCTATCTCTTCTCTATAGAGTAACTTCCTTTTACTTAGGTTTTGAGGAACCCTAGCTATGTTTTTCTTGATTGGATGATCGTATAAGTACTCTCTCTTGATTATCTTGAGTTCATATTTTTAATCTATGAAATATTTCATGATTCAATCCTGCTTTGATTCTATGAGAGGTAATACCTTACTAGGTCAATAGAGCACCATGGATTGGAAGTAGGGGATCGATAACATGAGAGTAAGTGGATTCAATGCTATGTATTGAGTGAGAACCTCGCCCAATAGAAGGAGCCTAGGCTAAAACACCTTGATCAGTTGTTCTAAAGAAGGATTCGTCCCACTAGGCATCCACCTCAAGAGAACATTGATTGCTTAAAAAGTGTTCAATGTCTAGTGAAGGACTCTCCGCATTGTTAATGAATAGTGATTCAAGTTAGAGCATCATTAATCATTAATCTTGTTAGTGGCTAGGAGGAATCATAGCTTGAATGAGTTCCCAACCTGTAAGTAGATTAACTTTAGTTGCTAGAGTAGTTGTAGTTCTTTTAAATTGATCTGGTTTGCTAAATAATAAACTGAAGCTATATAATAGTAAATCTAGAGACTTCTGGATTCAATATTTATTACTTATACCACGATATTGCAATCCTGTCATTGTTTCACTTGGCATTATCAAGAGTGTAGTTTTAACGAGTCAACGGGTTAGCTAAGACACAGAGTTGGGCCGGGCCAATTGTTGTACCTAGCCACTAAGCCCGCGGAAAATACTGAGACCCTAGGTACCATGTTTGCACGTGCTCTCAAGGTTCCTCCTTCACCGCTAGATAACAAGGACCCAACACGCTCATATAGGGATGGGCAATGGGTGGGTTTTAGGATAAAATCCACCCACCCATTGCTATGGCGGGTGATGAAAAATTGACCCACACCCACCCATTTGTACCGTTGTGGGTGGGTTGGGTGGGCGACAGCGGGTGGTGGGTGGGTTTGGCGAATTTGGTGGGTCAAATTATTTTTAAATAAGTAGATAATTATGAGCCATAAAAAATTGGACAAAACTAGTTGAATATCAATGCTACAAATCAAAAAAATTGAGTCATTTTTTTGTTTTAATTATTTTTTAATTTATTGTAATGATGAGGTGGAATTTATTAAAAATTAAATTTTCTTATTTATTATTTTGTAATTGTCACGTCACTAATTTAACAGTCAACTATAAGAGTTGACCTCCACATCAGCAAAAGTTAACAGAGACTAACGGCCAGTGACGAAACTTGAACTGTTAACCTAATTTAAGTGACTACGGATGGAATAAAGTAATTCCAGTGGCTAACGTGAACTTTACTAGTAACTCAAGTGACCAAACTTACAATTTAGCCTTGCATAATCTAACACCAATTATCTCATTTACGAACACAAAATATTTTATTGACAGTTATCATATTTTAACATTTATAAAATATAATATTATAGTTTAATTAATCAATCATAATTAAAGTATTGAGATAAAAAAAAACAATTTGTTTTATTACAGCATGTAGTAATGACTTAATATATCATATGAATTTGCGATTAATGACCTATCCCCTAGGCCCCTACCCATCCACTACCACCCGCCACCCACCCAAATTTTGTTAATGACAAAAACGTTGACCCACACCCACCCAAACATATAATGGGTGGGTTATAATCGAGTGAATTTGAATGGATCTAGCGGTTGACACACCCATTGCCCATCCCTACGCTCAGACCTGGAGGTGGGTGAGAACTGAGAAAGCCAGGGTTTGAAATACATGGAAATGGAACCGAAACTGCATAACAAGCACTCTAGTCTACACTAGAGCTCGAGGACAAGTAGTGTCACTAGATCGTCCGACTGATGGATCATCAAAGTGAGTACAAGAGTTAGAGGTGCCACAGAAACAACTTGAACTCTTTTGAGGGATTTTGGACCAAGCAGAGGGATATCCACTCATAAGACGAGCTTTGACCACGCCTATGGATTTGGCCTCACGCCATTCTAGTGTAGTTGGTCGTAGATAAGCTATATAGATTTCTGCCTTTGGTTACACTATAGTTACAAATCGATTAATTGCACTAAACCGTCTGTTTCTGCCAACAAAAATCAAAAAGGAATTTTGATATATATTGCATATCTACCCGAGGGAAAAAAATTAAGAATCTACAATATACAAAATGACGCGAAGGTCGCAGAAGTAACCTAAAGCGCACTAGAAATGATTCACCGGCTTCAGGCATCAATGGGGGCGAAAATCTGTGCGCATGAAACATGCTCCCACCTCCTCTGTTACTTTACCGCATTTGCATTCTCAGCACTGACTCTCATTACTTTACCTACAGCTGATCAAAAGATCCACTTCTCAATCTTTCCATTCGGGCCTGGAGCCCCGAGAGCGCCTTCTCGTCCATTGGATGGATCCCGCCATGTGCAGGATTCTCAGCATCCACATGTTCGGCTGCACGAGGAGCGACCTGAGCAGCAGCCAAGCTGTTGTTGTTGTTCACATTGTCATTCATAGACATTAATGGCTTAGCACCAGAGTCGGGTACATTCCCGCCGGTTGCAGCTAGTTGCATGCTCTTCATCCTCTCCCTTATAGCATCCAGCGTCCCAGTGGTCACTGGAGATGAGAAACCATAACACAATGAGAAGAAACCCAAAAAGGAAATGCAAAGGAAGAACCCGATTAAGATCAAGCACCCACGAAGGATTGCTTACTCAATTTCTCATTTCTTTGGTCATTTTCAGAGACGCGGCTTCTTGAAGCAAGCACATTGAGACCTCCTCGGCCATCTTCACCATATGCGGGCGGTAGATGGAAGTTGGTTGGCGGCTCAGGCCTCACGTGCAACGACTTTACGTCACCGCCTAAGGAGTTTGTTTGAACAGGTGACAGAGGTGCAAAGTCAGGTGAGGAAACATTGATGAGAGCCGATGGAGGAGGAGTAGACATTGGCGTAATAGAAGGAGTCCTTCCAGCTGCAGCATTCTTCTCCATCTGGGGCAAGATAATAAAAGTGGGAAGCATTATTAGCATCAATCCAAATTCGCTCCCATCCATTCCAAAGGCCCAGCTAAAGAAGAAAAAAAACTTCCACAAACACAAACCTGAGCTAAACCATCTCTAATGTACGTTCGAAATGCTTCGCTAGCATTTTGAAGCTGAGAAAAAATATCAACCTGGAAGAAACAAATATGTATAAGGTCAATGTCCAAGACTGTCAACATGACTTATTAGAGCTCTCTTTAATGCTAAATTTGACAACATCAATTCTACCTTGGGATACAGCTGAGTAATACGATACAGTTCATAAAGACCAATGGTGCATGTCTGCTTATCACCAATTTTCTTGAATATGGCTGCAAGTTCTTGCTGTAGATGGAAAGCAAGAAAATTTTCTTCAGTTGCAGCCTTGCAGGCAGGTTAATGTGTAAACCGTCTGACAAGTTCATATGTAGTATATATGTACCTTTAACTGGGCATCGGCTGAGTGTGTTGCAGATGATGCGTTATTAGCTGTAGAATCACCCCAATGAGTTTGGCCAACGGGTCCAGTTGAGGTCAACATTCTTGCAGCAGCTAAAGTCTGTACAGAAGAAGAAAAGAAACAGTCAATCATTTTGTCTGTTAGTGGAACCCCAACTGCAGGAAAGGTAGGGTACCATTTCATCAATCAACTCTCACCTCAAGGTTGAGATCAATGTATGCAAGAATGATTGGTTGCGGTTTCATGTCTATAGGAACCATAGAGAGGTGACCCTTAATTGCAGCCCCCCGGAGCTTAACAAGTTCGTGTAAAACAGTCTTCACCATACGCAGTGGCTTATCATCAGCTCCGGCCCTTTATCAACACATGGACAAAAGGGAAACAATCAGTTGAAAGAGAATACAACTCTAGTTTTCAGCTCCAACTGCAGTGTAGTACAGATAATAAAAGTACCTTTTCCTAATTTCTTCCATTCCCAGCTCCTGCAAGTATATGTGGATGCTTTGAAGAATGCGGTCAAGATCGACCTCGTAAATTGTGCTTTGAAGAACCTGAAATGGTAATAAAAATTATAAATGAATGCAGACGGTCACTGCTTGAACAATTCAACAATCCTGCGAGAGGGGTGCTAATCGGTTCGGTGCTGGTTAACCACTAACCCGTTTGGCGGTAAGTTATTAAAACCTCTTTGTAAAAAATGAATACCGCAAAATGGAACCAATAAGCTTTATCGGCTAACTGCCTATTGTCTGTTTGGTTAGCGGTTAGTATGACAGCAACCTCCAGATGTGGAATTTTCCATTCGTAATTTTAAATTTTTATGTGCCCTTTTCTAATAATAAAATATAAACATAAAAATAGTTCAAAACAATTTAAATAAGCTTCTACATTGTTAACATAAAATAATATTATACAAAATAATATAAATATAGAACATCCATCGTGAATTCAGAATCTCAATCCAAATTCCAATACATAGAATTAGGAAATTTCAAACATCTTAGTACAAACTAGCAAGACATCAAACAAAAGCACCACAAGACCAACATCATTCACAAACATCAAAGAAACGAAGACTACAAGGGTGCGAGGTTTGCTTTGTCAACTGCAAAGTATATTCGGAGAGGGGTCACTATCGAGTTCCGACTATTTTATACATTTGTGAATTGTGATTAGTGGTTCACTTACCAAATCAGCTAACCAAAACTGAACCACTAAAAAATTAAGGGTTATCAGTTAACTATTAAACGTCTCGCCATTGTTAGTTCAACTATCGGTTAAAACCTCGCCATTATCAGTTCAACTATCAGTTAAAATCTATAACCGAGTAACTGTTTATCTGCCCTATAGGCTATTCTAAACAAGGTGTTACATGCTGCTGGCAGCACAAGACGAGGATACATGAAATGCCTACAACCATGGACCACTGAAAAATCAAGCAGCAACAGCAACATAAAATGCAGTTTCGGCTTAATCTTGTGACGTAAGATACAAGGCCACGCAGCTGATCACAAAAGATTATCAATATTGAAAAGGCCCACAAATGTGACAATAAATGTTTACCTTTGTGAGTTTGATAAGGCATTTGACAACAAGATCAGAGAACTTCTGATTCCTGATGGCAAAAGCTTCTGTCGAAGCAGGTAAAGGCCATCGAGATGGATCCAGTGGGCGCAAGAGATTGATCAGAACAGCAAATGAAGATGTCCTATCTGCATTATCCTGCAAATGCAATCACTAGTAAGAATTTTAGTAAATGAAAAATATAAAAAGAAAGGGTTATATGGTGGATTGCGCACCAGAATCTTTAGCATCAGCACATTTAGAGCTTTCAGAAGCTGGCTACCATCATCCATATGAGGCACCCTCTCATCTAGAAGCCAAAGTAGAAGTTCTGTTATGAGACTGTCAATTGTGCTTTCCTTAACAGCATGTGCAAGCCTCCTGTTTTGAAAAGTCTGTAGCGGACTTCAAAGAATTAGGAAACTACAACAAATTACTGATTAACTAAAATGCAATGATTGTGGTAGTAAGTCAACAAGCTGGTGCCATGCCATTTTCTGTAAACAAGAAATATAATAGGTGAAGTTTACCTGCATGAGGGTGTTCAGGACATATTTACAAGACCTCGATGAGGCTCCTGTCAAACTGAAATCAAAAGTCTTGGCAACCTGGTCAACCAATATGTAAAGTGTAAGTTGAGGCATCTAATGTAGATGCTAGGGGAGATATTCAGCACCTAATAAGTACCTTGTTCGCTAAACAAGAAACCAGTCTATCAGCATCCTTCACCAATTCATCCATCGTACTGCCCTCAGGATCAGCAGTAGCCTGTGCCAACTCATGGCACACAACTTTCATTCCTTCCACTGACTGAAATGGCAAATCAGAAATACATGCTAAGCAGGTGCATAAGAATGATATGGCAATCCATCACAAATAGGAGGAAAGACAGGCTAGAGAGAGTTACACGAGCATTAAGGAAAAATCAGTTTTACATCATACATATTGATCAACAATCAAGCAAACGAAACAATAACAAGATACATAAACTCCAAGCTGAGAATCACTTGGAATGGAAAACATAGACCAATCCATACATATGAGTAGATGACCACACGATGAAATAACAAGTGAGCTGATATCCTTTAACCTAATATTTGAGATATTAGGAATTTAAGATACAAGAGTGGCATCAGCGACTGCATAGAACTACTTATAGGTTGTAATTTAACAACCACCAGATACTCAACTACAGATATTAAAGCTTATAGACAACTATCCGCCATTACCAATGATTGGAAACTATATTCAGATCAAACACATAAATTTGGCACCAAATGAAAAATGATTGAACGCATCAATAAGTGGCCTTTGACATCTAATTTTGACAAAAAACCACTACCAAGTGATTGGAACAAATCTACCGGATTCCAAACAATGATCTATTTTAGGCTCAGTTGAAACCACAACCATTAGTTCCAAAGGAGAAGGCAACAAGACTCCTATTATTCAACGTCCCCGGTTGCATCATTTCTCATATTCAGAATTCCATGAATCATGAACACCAAATTGTGCAATGCACAGGAGTGCTAGAAACCACAATCACAGACAACTAGACAAGAACAGTTAGTAGAACCTGCTCTGGAGAGCCAAAGGCAATTATGTCAACAGCTTCATTCCAGTCAGATGGGCTGTTTGCGCCAGCAAGTGCAGAGGGAATTATATGTCTTTCCATTTGATCGTGCACACCATAATTTTTCCTGCATATAGGCACCCAGGTTCTTTCTCTGTGACATCGGCTGGATGGGGAGATTGTCTATGACTTAAATATATATCTTATTGAACAGAAGAAAAAAAAAACTCAAGAAAATAAAGACACCTTATAAGTGCTGGACCAGGTATAGACTGTGATACTTCTCCACTCTGCTCCGCCACCTCAGCCCTGATATCAGTACAAAGGAGAGCATGACAGAGATTTAGACCCCAATGGTTAACGGATTGAGCATTATATTTTAAGTGGAACATTCCTTTTCAAGACTTGTGCTAGCAGAAGCATACATTTAAAAGTGTAATGTGAACCACATTCATGACAATTAATTACTTGGATAACACGTCATAAACCATAAGCATACCCATTTTCCCTAACAGATCTTCTCAAAGCAGCTCTAGCATCACCTGGACGTCCTTCCCTCCGTTTCTCCATCTCGCGGACCTAGAAAGTTACAGGATTAAAGAATAAAGTAGCCTTCATCTATACTTACAGGTTCTAGAATTCAACAACTTAAATCCCCTGTTACATAACTAGATGTAACAAGTAATCAAGCTCTCACAAAAAATCTGAAGCATATATCACCATACCTTCCACTTAAATCTATCATCCAACATACTCTTTTGGGCTTCTGTTAGCTTGCCAACAAATCTCCATATGTCCTCACCTATGGTAAATCACGAAAAATGAAATGAAAACCCCGAGACTGAGATTATAGAGGTTAATAGGATTAGCGAAAAGAATACAGGGAAAATATCTTCCAATTGTCTCAATGACAATTAGCCTCAACGAAGAAAAGAAAAACAAGCCTCTTCGACCAACATACACCAAGCATGCAACAGAACTGAGCTAAAAAGGGATTAAAGTACTCATACACACCAAGGTATTTGTATCCAGTGGCTAGAGCATTTAGAGCAGCTTTCCGAGTTTCACCGTCCCTTTCAGCTGTCAAGCTGGCAACCACTTGGAGGGATTTTAACTGCCCACCAATCTGTGAAAACCAAAAGTCAAGATAGGGCTGAAAAGTAAAAACAGAATGCACCCAGGCCACCAAAACAAGTACCTCTGTCCCATGATGTTCTATTAAGAACCCCACCAGGTCTGCACACTCTATGCGAGTACGGTTATTTTTTGAGCGCAGACCCTCCAAGATATATGGGAAAGTTTTCGCTGCAGAGTACGCTTGAATTATCTGCTTGGCAAGTTCACGCATCTTTTCTCTGACTTTCTCGATGTTATGCCCCAACTGCATGTTTTCAGTCCAGAAAAAATGTTACAAAACAATTCAGTGACCTTCTCTAAATATCTTATTTAAAACTCTCACATAGCGCACATAAAGAAGTCCAGCAAGAACTTTAGCACTGCTTTTACATTAAAGTGTCAACCAAAGATGGTAATAATTTATGAAACCTTTTCTGACAAGCATGGAAGGAATATTGCTGCTTCTGCTTCAGTTAAATTGTATCCTTCATTCTGAAGCATCTCAAAAAGTTCAGGGAGGACTTCGAGAACCTGTTCCATCCAACATCAAATTATGACATATCATTCCTCAAAATAAATAGATGAATAAAAATGTAAACTAGCACAGAAGTAATGCAACCAAACCTTCAACATGCACGTTGTGTTAGACTTGCAAAACTGCAAGACAAACCACCTCAACAATATATCCAAAACCTCGATAACTTCTTTCTTTATGGATGGAAGTGCCTGTAATTTAAGCATGAGATTTGAATGAAAAACAGACATAGAACAACAGGAACAAGCAATGTTCATTCATAGCTTTAGCGAACTCAATTTTGAAGTTTGTTAATTGCATGGAAACTAAATCATTATGCATCATAAACATGCGGACCAAGAATGTGCGGCACTTAAGAAGAATGCTAGATACCTTCTGTAGCAGGTCAAGTCCATCAACCTGTTTCTTAAAATCTGTACTAAGGAGCCGTCTGTGCAAGTCCTCTCTAAAATATCTATTCATATCAACCTGAAACAAGAATATCTTTGATATCACCGATGTTGAAAAAGACTCCAAGATAGTTTCAAAAGGAACATCACATGGACAAACCTCAAGTTCTTGAATCTGTTCCAGACGAGGTTCTTCAAACTTAAACCGTTTGACCACAATTCTCTCTCTCTCATCCTGAACAGATTAAGCACAAGTGGTCAGGTCAGGTTATGCAACACACCTTGGATACAGTTTTCAGAACAACAACGTTACTATACCTTGTTCGAGTCTTTAACATTCAATAATGCCTGTGATTGTACAGCCCTGTCATGAGCAGCCAAGACTGGATCTACCCTCGAACCCTTAGCTGGTGCAATTCTCTATAAAAACAAGCACCCAAAAATTAGCTAGTGCAAACAACCCATTGGAACTGACCCTACTCGAGCAAGAAGAACATACAGAGGAAACTGCTTTGTTTGCATGCTTTGAGACGCCATTAGCAGCTGATCTTCCGACCTTTGTGCTAGCCCTAGATGCCGGGACAGATGGCATTGCTTTTGCCGAATCAAACGGCTCTGCTGCAAGGAAGAAAATTTCCAAAGATCGCGACGATTTAAGTGCAACAAAACCAACCAGATCACTGAAAATTTTACTGACGCACAAACCTTGAAAGGAAGAATCAGGTCTAATACGCTCCATAATAATAGCTAATGCTGGCCCCTGAATGTCCCTCAGATGCTTCTCAATCTGTCAATAAATGAAGTTTATTTCGTGTAATTTATTAATCTAAATAAGAACGATTGGTAAGAAAATATTCGAGCACATACAGTCTCTGTTCCACAGACTCTCACAACCTCGATGATGCATGCTTCTGCAGCCTTTCGAACATCGGCCGACTTGTCCTGGCATCCATTGTACACGATAACATGAATGAGAAGACAGCTTCAAGATAATGCTAATTTAGGAAAAAGCTTATACAAAGTGAATCCAGATAGTTTACCGTCATTGCGGAACCAACTGGTTTCAAGAGATGCACAGCATCGGAAAAATCACTCAAGCCAGACAACTGTTTTGAGCACCAATCAAAGAGATCCTTGCGCCCTTCAGCACCAAGCTTATTTTCAACCAAAGCAGTTGCGATGTATGGAACCTACAAAAGACATTACATCAAGCATGATAGTTAGAGATAACAAGCCGACAGTAAGTACTACATCATCTCAATAAACAACAGGTACTACGAAAGTCTTTACCATTTTATCAAAATGAACAGCAGAAACCCAGGAATCCAGTGTAGCCAATGTACATTCTCTCATATGTTTCTTATTATCGCCAAGACATTTCAAAATATCCGAGAGAATGCCCTGCAAAAGACCAAGCACAAACAATGAGTTCCATTTTCAGAAAGCAAAACTCAACATGTTCACACAGTTCTCAAACTAGGAAGCTCGTAAACCTTGCTGGACTTCTCCACAGCAGGACCCATAGCAGAAGCAACACCACCAATTGTTGCCAAAGCTGTCATGATCAGATTCTTATTGCTGTCATATAGACGACCTCTAAGAGCACCAAACAGATCACCTGGTAACAAGAATAAAAATATCACCAACAGACAGGGTCGATAACTTCAAGAGCAGATGTAAAGTGATAGCTTTACCAGTTCCCATTGGTTGAATGCGCTTATTAGCCTCCTCCAAAATCTTATTAACAGCTTCAATAGACTCTAATCGGATCTGGAGTATAGAAAGGAACGATGAACTAGATGAAGAAAAGTTTTATCAACGAATTTCGAGATAAAATGACGAAAGTTGGCACTGAAATTCCATAAAGCAGGCATGTTGAGATCATTTTAAATAAGGAAAATGCACACCTTCCAATCAGGACTTTCAAAGCCTTTCAGAAGAGTAGGCGTTATTTTTCCACTAATGTCTTCACGAGGCAAGCCATCCAATCCACCAGAAGATGGAGCGGCTGTGGCTTCAGATGCCTTGACTGTCCTCTTAGGAGCTGCAGCAGCACCCTGACATATATGCAAACACACTAAGCAACTACTCCACAGAAAACCATACTTACAAAAGGCACTGCAGATAAGCTCCTTAGCCTACCTCAAAAGGATTTTTCTCATACTCTGCATCGAGTGTACTAAGCAAAGCAGGTTTGACATCCGCCAGAAAACCCTTGATATCTGTAAGAATCCACTTTAAACAGGAGATCAACATAATCAATAGACCAAAAGTTAATAAGTTATTCAGCACTCACCTGGACCAACGAACTTGTGCAAAACACCTAAAAGCTTGATTGTGGCATTTCTGCTGGCAGCAACACTTGACTGCAGCCCAATATCTTTACAGAAATCAATCAAGTCCTGCAAACCACAAGATAATTAGTTAAAGAGAATCAATCAGATGGCCAAGACAAAAGAAAACATCAGATGCATTTGAAACCAAAACAAACAACTTGAGGGTAATTTGGAGGCACCTTAAGCTTTAAGAGTGACACACCGAAGTCCTCAACTGCTGAGACCATCCACAATATCCCCTCACTAAGAACCTTAGGATTCTTGTGTTCTTTCATGATTTTGTAAAGCTACAAAATTCATCACATATCATATAAACAAGAAAAAAATTCAAAGAACAAACTCAAGAAGAACACATGTGGTATGCTCTTGGATAAGGGAAACAACACATTTGGATCTGCACTTATACATACTCGTTCAAAAACAAATCCAGGACCAACAGCTTCTGAGAAAGTGGTAAGACACTTCATAGCCTGTGCTCTGGTCTTAATATCAGCTACCCGTTCACCTATGCCCAGTATACAGAGTACGACACATTTCTTCGGGAATTTTTTTGCTGTTGAAGCTAGATGGGTGACAACTTCAATAACCTGCTGCTGGACCTGCATTCCAAAGAAACTGGATATCTAACCAAACACCTGTGTAGGATATAACTTTAGCCCACTACTAGGAAGTGCAGCACTTGCACTTGCCTGAACATTTTTTTCACTCCAACCAGGAAGGACACAGACTAAACGTGTCAAAATTTCCACTGACTGATCAAGATCCTGTAAGCCCTCAATTTGTTGTCGCAATGAGGACATTGCTGCAGTAAGAGCCAAACAGAACCAGAGATTGATGAATGTAACAACTTCAACAGAATGGCACGCTACTACTACCATCAGTTCCAGCATTTTAAAAGAAACTGGAGAATCAGGAAGTAAAAGAATGAGAACTTTCCTAAAAACAATGTTAATAACATGCATTGGAATCAAAGTAAATCATAGTACCAACAAAAAAAAAAGAAGAAGATTTTATCATTCCAAACACTTACTTATGACCATACTATAATCCACTTCCAAGAAAATCAGTTGCATTTCACTGATTTGACTTGTAATGCCCCAAATGTTTTACCGAACAAACCCATATTTCATATCTTAGGCTAGCTTTGTAGAACATTCTTACGGTCTTCGGTAAAAATCGGTTTCAATCAAATTGAGCGGTGCAGCTACTATGACAATGCAGATTTCTTCAGGTTATAAATTTCAATGGTCAAAGGACTCGAACCTTTGGATAGTGATTATCAATATGGACAAGCACCACTTAGTATAAATAAAAGAGAGAGCCTAAAAAGTTTATAGATGAAAACCAATAAACTGTATTGACGCTTTGACCAGAAGATTTCAACACGCAGAAAAATGTTTACCTTCAAGCCGTTCTTTCCACACAGTGCTTTTCAACAGAGTAATGGTCTCAGCTTGCACAAGAGAACCTAATCTGCTCTCTATCTCTTCAAGACCCATCTCTGCTGGCTGGAAAATGCAACCAAGAATCAAGTCGTTAGACATAATTACAAAACCCAATACATGAAAGGAAACATTAATAGTAAAACAAATAACAGGTGAACTAACTTCAACATCCTCAGGTGGTTCAATCTTCGAAGCGTCAGCACGGCCAGCTCCATCGCCTTTCTTAGTGGTACCAACCTTTGCAGACCCAGGCTTTTTGTTGTTGGCAGGCTGATACAGACAGGAAAACGAAGATATAAATAACATTAGCTTATCCATATGACAGGAAGGAGGATCGTTGAGGGACTTACAGCAGCTGCAGCAGGCCTCTTCCCACTAAGCATGCTAGCTGCGGACTTCCTCACAAAAGAACCCCCGGTGGTCTGCAAAAGATGTCAAATGGCAACAGGTTTAGAGCCCAATCTTCCAGTTTGATCAGAAATCATATATTTTTCCAATTGCCGTGCACTAACCAAATTTTGAATTACTTTAGTAAATCACTTGATAATACACAGCATGGGAAAGGAAGGTAACGCAAAAGATAGGGTAGCAGAAAATATTACATAAGATAGAACCATCAACCAATATCACACACTATGAGAGAAAGAAAAAACGCACTCACCTCAGCAGAAGATGCAATACTGCCAACAGCTTGACCGGTATCTGGCAAGTTACACCAATCATAAGAAGGAACAAATAGATAGATGGTCATGAAAATGGTAACTGAATGTGATTAACAATAAAGAGGGGAGAAAGAAACCTGAGCTTGTAACAGCTGTGGCACCACTTCCTGAACCTGCAATCATTTCAGAAAGCTTCTTTTTCCTAACATCGTCCAGTTTCTCCAGCGACCTCTCCAAGGGCCTCATACCAACCGACTAAAATAATTCAAATAAGAAAAGGTAAAAGAAATCTAATAAAGGCACACAACCTTGAACTTCATCTGAGTTGATGGAAGCAAAGCAGTACCTTAGCTATTGCTGCCAAAGCTGCAAATGCTGAATCCCTCACTTCAGGGGTCCCATCATTGAGACACTACAAGATTCAAAAGCCATATTATAATCTGATCATCTGAAGCAGCTAAAAAGACAAAGAACTGAACATACAGATTCAATGTCATTGAATAAATAGAATAATCAGAAACATAGATATTTACATGTTCGTGACAAACGGCCATTACGAACACCTATGTATCACAGATTAGAAGGTACCCCGCAACTACTAATAGCTATATCTCCCGACCTTAAAAGAGAAAATCAAAGGAAACCAGCATACACAGAATAGTTTGTATAGTCCATTTCTACAAAAACATAACCTCAACAAACCATCACACTACTAGTATTGTAGAAAGAGCCAATAGATGTGTGGAGTAAGCTTACCTCCATACAAATGGGCACATAATCCTTATGTGCCTTCAAAACAACAGCCTTGCTGCTCGTTTCAATGCAAAATGTCACCCAATTCAAAGTTAATGAACGCACTAGGGGAACTTTATTTTTGGTTGCTGTCTTAATCTCTGCCATAAGAAAATACCAAAACATGAATAGTCCCACATACCACAGATACAAATCCATTTGAAATATATATAAAAAAAAGGGGAACAGCAGTAAAAAAAACACATATTCTCAAACTATTAAGAGTATTATTTATGCCAAAAGAATAAATAGGAACATGTCGTAGTTTAACCAACAAACATACAGCTTTATCAATGGAGAAACTTCCAGAATTGACACTTACCATCAACAATGTCTACAAGATTTAAGCATCCTGCCTTATGCATAGCTTGCAGTGTTTGTGTCAGTGCCTCGGCCATTGTAGGCTTCTTCTCTTTCAATTTTTCCTTACATAGGATAATTTGAACAAAATTCAAGTCAAGACTTTGCTTAAATAATACAGTTAAGGACAGTAACAGCAAAGAATGAATACACGTAGTAAAAGATGAGCAGAAACATTAAGCATCCAGGTACACATTTCCCGTCTAAATACTTACAAGTAACACGGGCAACAAGAACCGAGAACTTGCAGAGAAGTGTGTCCTGAGACCCCTTGCAAGATTTCCGATTGCTTGGACTGCCTCAACTCCAACAGCTATGTTCACATCCGTAATAAGCTGCAGGACACACATAAAAACAGGGGATTAAAAGCAGCCTTACCAAGTAAGATATTTACAACGGCCATCCAGCAAAAAAATGAATGACATCCATAAACATAGAAAGAAAAAACTCTGAGACCAGATCAAAAGATGCAGCTTAAAAAACTTGTGCCTCAGATGAAAAGTAGACAGGAGTAACATGGAGGGAGTGGTAGTCACAATAATGCTGCATAGTACAAACACTTGAATGTTAAAAGGTCAAAACACAAAGGAGAGATTACAACTAACAAGATTTCCTCAATTGGTCCACGTCTATTTTGTCATTTATTTCTACTATAATTGGCACCTCCTTTCAGAACACAAGGACTGAAAGCGAAGAAAGAGCAAATAGCCTAAATCAGGGCATAAAAAAGTATTCTCCAGCCACAGCCCATTACTTAAATGCATGCTTTCTAATTCATAGAATGTATTAGCAACATGAAAACAAAAACTCACAGGAAGTACAAACAACCATCAAAAGTAGGTGTAGTGAAAAAAAGGATAAAAAAGCTCATTGAACTCTTTCAATCTCAAACAACAAGAATACCTTCTTCAATGTCCGGCAAACTTCAGAAAAATCACCAGGCGCTATCCTCCTTGTCGAAGCCAGCTTGGTCAGCTCTCCCACAGCCTCTTTTCTTTCTGACCATTTGGTAGCTTTCTGAACAAACGACATAAAAGTGAAGTGAGAGTAAGCCATAAATTATATTTATAATTCAGTAGCACAAAAAGGAGAAAGGGAACGGCTGACTGCGCACTAACCACGCCATCCCAAAAGGCTGACTTTTCTAGAGGAGTCAAAATATCAACAGGATCAATAAGCTCATATTCATCGATTTCCTGGGGCACTGGTAAAAAGGACACCATGACCAACAAGTGAGTACATACACCCCAAGAAAAATGAAAAGACCTACCAATAGCAATGCATACCATCAGCCACAGATTCTTCAGATTGACTAGGACCGACAGCTTCTGCTACACTTTCCGGCTCTGGCTCCTTGTCTTGCTCAGATCTAAGATAAGCATCTGTGTTAGACGTGGAAAGAATATGGCAAACACAACTTCCAAGAAACCTCCAATTCGAACTAGCACTTAATTCGAAAGAACAAAAAGGTGAACATTTAGAAGACGGAAAAATTACCCATGGTATAAAGAGCACGAACTTGACTCTAGAATAGGCAGCTAATACACCTATTTACCAGAATAATACATCCAAAATAATGAGTCACTCTCCAACTAATAGAATACCTAGTTGCCAAGGACAATCCGGTTATAGACAAATAATAAAATTAGACAATCTAGAATATACATGCAACCCAGCAAGGGGCAAACACCGTGCAGCATTTAAAGTGGCCAAGTAACAAAATAAAGGCTAAAAGTAAGCAAACCTAACAGTTTCACTCTATTTATCACCTGAGTTTAAAACCCTTTGGTAGTACATTCAAGAACAAATCCACAATACAACAAAATGGCATTCAGTATAATCACCTGATTTTGCGAGATGGCTTAGCAGCCCCAGAAACGTTAGCGAGCTCGGCCTCCAGCTCTTTTTTCTGTGTTCGAAAACAATTGTCATATAGCATGAATTCAGCGGGGAGGGAGATGAAAGACAGACAAATCATGGTCTCATACCATAGTATCACGCATCTTCTCCAACAATATTGACTTCACGGGGTCTTTGCCAATCCATCGACAAAGCTCAAGGGTAAGTCCTTTTGAGCAAGCCCTAACATTTTGATCCTGATGATCAAATAATTCTGGCAGCATCTTCAAAATCCGCTTTGGTGGAATAACTTTGGCGCCAAACTCACTATTGGTAACAAGAAAATACAAATAAGCTTTATGTAGAAAAAGATTAAACAGCTCAATTTTCTGCACAAAACCAAACAAAAAAATCTGATCCACATACCTTAAAGCTTGAAACATAACATCAATTGCAGGCACAACAGCTTTAGAAACTTTGTTCTTGATAGCTTTCTCCATTACATCCTAGAAAGAAGCCACGTTTAACTATCAAAGACTGCAAGGATTCCAACAAGAAACTAAACAACTTGTAGTAAATCCACATTCATACATGAAAATCAATTGACAAATTACATAGAGAACCAAAATTGGCAAGCCCAGGAAATGTCTGGGGAATGAACAACCTGTTATTCAGTTCGGAAAGGGTAAGCCATTTCAACACCAGCTAGTGAAGCAGTGGGACTGATACATAATTCACGTATTTCAACTCAAATCAATTAAAGCAAATGGCAATAGACCACATTACTCCAACAGTTTCCAATACCATAGCATGCTTTTGGCTCACCTCCAAGGCCATTTACCGCAGTCTACACTCGGCTTCAACTAAGTCTAATGCCCTCTCCGATATCTGTAAACTAGTTAAGCATCATCGAACTTTTCAATATTACCAATTTACCAAATGCTGACTTTTCCTAGACTGTCTCACCTAATTGAAGTACAGTGAAGATGGCAAAGACAACTAGCCGAGGTTCAACAAAGTTACTAGCTATCCTCAAATCATCACTCAAGAGACCCAAGTAGAAAAGTGAAAAGTAAGCTATTCCTCACCACTTGTTTCTAGGTGTTCTATTTACGTTCAATGAACTATGTTGGCATAATACTATAAACCAATGATGATTAACAGAGCAAGACGGTATACAGGTATAGAAGCCTGCAATCTGACTTCTGCGATGAGAAATCGCTTAATGTGCGATCACAAGAAGTCAAGAAGTGAACCAATGGACTCCCTGTAATTCGATGGTCCTTACGTGACAACTCATGGAATCACAATTTTCAAGGCTAGTTCAATGTATATTATGCACACACTAAGAACAAGGACTACAGTGACATGGAAGAGCAGAGATTGAAATATATGTATGAAATTGCACATAATCAGTTCCATTATATGAATACACAATGTAGCTCCTCAGCTCAGGAAAATCTAAGAAACAAGATCTTTTCATACCAGAAAAACGTCCACTGCCTCCAGCTCTACCCAAAGCATGAATGCTGCCTGTGCCTTCTCCACTGTCTTTGGCCGACCAGTAAGACACTTTGCAGCAATTGCATCACATACCTCCTTCGCGAACCTACTCCGGGCAATAGGAACCGAAATTAAATAAGAACACAAGAACAACCACAACAAGCTAAGGTACACCAGAAGAGAAGTAATGATGGAAATCAAACACATTGTCACCTTCCAGCATCAGCATCTACAGCTCGTTGAAAAGCTATCAACGCATCGAGTGCTTTCTCTTGCACAGGTGCATTTGAATCCGCCACAGTTTTCCTGAACAACGGGCCTAACCAGAGCGAGAAATGGCAATCACCACAATCACACCCAAAAAATAAAAAATAACACACGAAAAGCTACATCAATTTTCACCGGCATTGGGTCTAGAAGATCGATGGCTGGTCAGATCTGAGCCGCTAGAAACGTGAAGGAGCGGAAATGGAAAACCCTAAGTGGAGAACCAAGGACTGGTTTGGGCTCACCGAATTCTCGTAACCGGGGGTCCTTTGGATCGGTGATGGAATCGCAAAGGGCAGCCAAGTCGATGTTGGCTTCGTTACGCACTTTCCAGTTCTTGTGCAACAACCGATCTTCCCAAGGCAATTTCTTCGCCTCTTTCAACAATTTCTCCTCTTCGGACATTGTGTATCCTTTCTAACAATCTACACACACAAAAAAAACTGCTGCCCCGTATCGATTTCCGGCAATGCGGTCTGGCGGCCGCCGAAGTAGTGCTTCTCCGTCGCTTCCTTTCTTCCTCTGTGATTCCTTCTTCCTTTTTCTTTCTCCGCCGAGTGCCGGCGGGAACAGGAAATAAAATGACAAAAACAAGGAGCCCCTCGGCTCGGCTGAGTGCGTACGATATGTTTTATGATCTCCTCCAAATTCAAAAAGAATAACCCCGGAAAAAATAAAGGGAAGAAAAGAAACCGGTGGAGAACGAGAAATTACAAAAAGAAAATAGGAGGAAATTTGGGTTGTACGTTACGAATTGGAATTGCTCTATTACCAGCTGCAGCAGGAAGGAAGTGAGCTGCAGTCTCCTTCGGGGAAGTGAAGAAGACTAGAAGGTGAACTGCCAACTGGACTGGCCCACGCAAATAGGCAGCCCAACCGTGGAGTGAACCAATGACGTGGATGCGCTTGTTTGACGGGTGATACAGATTTCGGCTTTTCTTTTTTCACTATGTTTGGGAAGAGGTTAATGGGGCTCAAGACAATGGTTATGCACTTATTAATAACCAAATCCGCACCCTTCGGGCTCGTTTAGTATAGTTTTGTTGTTGTTGTGGTTGTAGTATGATTGTGTAACACAAGAGAAATCACAACAACATAAAAATAGAAAACAAAAACATGTTTAATTGGTAATTATGACATATCATAGAAATCGACAACAAAAAACAGAAACGCGTTTAGTTCTTTGTAACGAAAAATCATAAGAACATTTCTCAATATACAGCAAAGGAAACATGGATTGAGCTGCTGAGCAGGGGAGGCCCGGCGACGGCTGTTGAGCAGGGGAGGGGAGGTCGCGGAGGCGGCCGGTCGGGAGGTCGGAGGGTCGGGAGGGCGGAGGTGGCCGGCGTGGAGTGGGGAGAAGGCGCCGGCGTGTATGACTGGAGGGGAGAGCGGCGCCTGTGTTTGAGACAAAATTGGACAGGTTGGGGGCGGCTGAAGTAGGGTTTGGGGTGGTGTTAAAAAAAAATTGCTTCTGTGGGGATTCGAAAGCTAGTCTATTTAAATGAAATCAAGCGCCCAACCAATAGGAATCCCGTGTGCAACATGTTTAAAAATCAGATCCAAAGCTATAAATTGTTGTTTCTCATATTTGGGCCTTGTTGTGCAACTCTAATTCACAACAAAAAATAAAAACCCAACTAAACACGATTTTTTTTCTTGGTTTTCCAAATTTCTTAAAACACAACAGGCTTCGTTTAGAAAATTCAGATCTAAGGATGGAGAATTAAAAATCATTTTTATTTTTTCTAGTTTTTTTAATTGGTTCATATTTTTTTCTTTTTAACTCGGATTTTAAAATTTTTTTTTTTTTTTTTGCACAGATGGAACGAGTTCATCGTGCTCTACAAAATGAGATCAATTTTCAATATTTTTTTAGAAAAAAATTATGGTCTCTCGATACCAACTGCATACCATATGGTATTTTCTTCGTTTTTAATTCGTTTTTGAAAACGTTTGCATAGAAGGGACGAGTTCATCATGATCTATTGGATCTACAAATTTCTGGGTGAACAAATTACAGAACCAAAAAATACCACACAATACCATACAATACCACCCTGGTACGGGGTGGTATCTTCTGGTACACAATGTTAAAAGTCTTAAATGACAGTTAATATACTTCTAATATCATGTATTCAACCATCCTACAGTCTTGGTTTGTTCATACCACCATGGTACGCTTTTCAAACCATAGGTATGCTCTTATTTCAATACCAGTCAATACCATATGGTATAGACTGGTAAAAAATGGCTCAATTTTTTTGTTCAAAAAATATATCAAAGTGGATATCATTTTGAAGAACACAATTAATCTGATCTAATTGTTCAAAAAAATTAAATTTTTACTTAAAACGAGTGAGAAATCGTCCATCAAAGATTAAGGAGAGGAAAATTAAAGGCTTTGCAGGAAAGAGAGGGATGTTGATGTAGACGGGTTACTCATGGTTACTCACCATAAGGTTACTGACCTGATTCGTTCCCGTTAATGGGAGGGGGAGTAGGTTTGGGGCTGCCCCGTTTGGATAATTATGAATACTGTAGGCAATTAGGGGGGCAAATCCACTATTTTCATTAGCCCCAATTTGGGGTACAAATGGAGAGAGAAAGAGTGGAAGGATGGATAAAAGATAAAATTAATATATATTGTTATGTTTTATATGTATGATTATGTTTTATGATTGTTGTGACTAAAAATGTCATGTAATCATTATTCTGTAATAATACTTATTATTATCATGATACTATGAATAATTATTATAATTATTAAATAATAATTATTATGATTTTTGCATTGATTCCGGGAGACATCATTTGATATACGATGATAAAGTTTGTCCAATTGGCTTCAACGGTTTGAGTCGGTCAAACAAGTGAGTCAAAATTCGTCAAGTCGAATCGAGATAGGATGGTCATTTATAATTAAAATCGATTTGATAATGTCCGTTTCACTCCGATTTAACCACCATTTTGATAAATCAACGCCCATGTGGGAGACATGAGCTAGTTATATGTCTTGGCCACGGATTGAGCTTCAAGCATAGTCATTCGAGTTCGCTCAACCAATTATTATTATTATGGACCCAATAATTTATTTATGAATATTTATAATTAATTACTACTTGAGCATTAATATTTTAATATTATTTTATTAAATTGTATTTTTAATATTTATAAAATATTATTATTTTTTATTTCATATTTATTTATGTGTGAATATTTTATAACAATCTTTTACAAATTTGATATATCTATTTTATAATAATATAATTACTTACTTTTCACTAATTTGCACTCCCTAATTTTTCATCCAAACAACAATTTACCCCTCCACTTACACCCCCCAACAACTTGCACCCCCAGCAATTTACCGCTCAACTTGTACCCCCTCGAATTTGCACCCTCTAGTTGCCAAACCCAGTGTTTGTTTAGAAAGATTGATGTGTTAGCATCTAATTCGTATTAAGTATCGAACGACCATGAGCAATGTCCATGACGTTATATAACAACCATTGTCCAAGGTTCGGGTCGCACACATTGAAGTGGTGTGTGCCAAAATTAACAAGGTGACCCCTACTAGCTAAAAAAATCAGCAACAAAATTAGCTTCTCTAAACACATGTTCTATTCTAACATCCCAATCATGGTTCAAAAGAGCATAAAATTGTCTAGCAAGAATCCCATGTCTATGGTCATCATCAAGGCAGTTCCTGGCAATGTTAATTATCGTAGTAGAGTCCATGTTTAGAAGGACTTTTATGTGCCCTCTTTCCCAAGCAATCCTAAGGCCCTCGATCGCACCTTTGAGCTCCGCACTTGTGATGGTACACACTCCAAGATTGCAAGTGAAGGCATCAAGAGCATCTCCCCAAGTGATCATGGAGAAGGACACCTACAGCCGCTTTTCCTGAAGGTTGGATGACTGAGCCATCCGTTTGGACCTGAATCCATCCAACATCAGGTGGCTTCCACGTAATGCTCTTAGTCTGGTACTGCTTAGGTGGTTCCCAACAGTCAAAAGTATTTCTGTATTTGGCCTAGGCAATGATATTAAGCCAAGCATCAATTGTGCAGTAGAGACTTTGTTCATTGAAGATCCTGCCATCTAGTGTTTCATCATTCCTCTGCTTCCACAGGTTCCAGCAGATGACACCAAAATCGACTCCAGTCTCTTCATGAAGAAGGTTTGAGAGGAGCCAGTCCTGAAAGCATCCATCCATGTTTCTCTTTGTCAACATATGTCGAAATTTCTCCCAAGTCTTAGTTGCTTTCCCACATTTTCGGAGGATATGGTCAACAGTTTCATCCCTTTCTTTGCACTGATTACAGCTACTGTCAGTGGCGATTGTCCTTCTTGCGCGTTCCTTGTTGGTGAAGAGTCTGTCATGTAGAACCTGCCACAAGAAGTGTTTGATTCTGCTTGGTCCTTTCCACCTCCAAAGAGCCTTCCAGCTGGTTTCTTCGCCTTCTCCATCCATGTTTACAGCAAGGTAGTAAGCAGACTTGAGTCGAAACCTCTCATCCCGCTCAAGTCCCCAGATCATTTTATCCTCTCCCAGTTCAGGTCTAAGTTTCTCCATACCTGCAATCAATAGAAGTTTGTCATTAGGAAGTAAGCCATTTAGTCTAACCCAATCCCACTCACCCCCTTACATGATCCAGCTGGCCACTGGGGATTGAATCTCCTCTTCTGTAATTTCTTTTGTCAAAAACTCTTCAATAATCAATCCATTTTCAATCCATGGATGTCTCCAAAAGTTGGTCGACTCTCCATTTCTAATACTACAATAGGATGTCTCCTACAACAGTGACATGGCTTTGACCATAGCTCTCCAAAGACTTGAATGGTTGGTCTTCTTTGTCAAGATGATTTCTTCATTCTTGTTTTTGTAGTACTTCCCCCGCAACACCTGTACCCAAAGCTCGTCCTCATTGTTAATCATCTGTCATGCGAGTTTAATCATGTATGCTTTATTAAGACTGCGAGCAGACCTAAGTCCTAGCCCTCCCAGTTTCTTAGGCATACAGATTGTCTCCCATGACACAAGATGGGGTTTCCTTTTCCCTTCTATTGAGCCACACACAAACCCCCTAATCTTTTTATCAATTAAATCACAGACAATAACAGGGATAGGGGTTGCCTGCATAACATAGGTGGGAATCGCATTCGGGACTGACAAGGCAAAAGTGACTTTCCCTGCAAGGGACAGAGTCCTTGCTTTCTAGGAAGTGAGTTTCTTATCAATTCTATCAAGGATATATTTGTAAGTACTCTTGGTAATCCTGCCATGAATCACAGGAACTCCAAAGTACCTTCCAATATCATTTGTTTCTTGGATCCCAAGTCTATTACAAATATTTTGTCTATCGGCATGCTTCACATTCTTAGAGAAAAACGTTCTAGACTTCTCTTTACCAATGCAGTCAAAATCGCGCTTTAAAACTTAAAAACTTACGATTTTACGCTTTTGGGTCACCAAAACGCTTTCGTTTCCATATAAAAACTTAAGTGTATAAAATCGGACTAAATTGCGCTTTAAAACTTAAAAACTTACGGTTTTACGGTTCTAGTTCACCAAAACGCTTTACGTTTTTACGCTTTTAGTTCGCTACATGAGTATTCTTTTCATGAAATTAATTATAAAAAGTATATTTTTAAAGTAAATCACTAACAATATGATACATTTGAGATTAAAAGATACATACTAGGTACTTGGATGCATTCTACTTCAAGAGAGTAATCTAATTCACTAACTAGGGTTTTCCCAAATTCATTAGCATAGAGGGAAAAGTGGCTTATCGTTAAAATTTATGTTTACGAACTTATTATTAAGATGCTATAAGTTGCTCTACTTTAAACATGAATCACATGTATTTATTAACTTATCTAAATTCTGTGCATTCATATTTTGCATAGCATATGTCCTACTTAATAGATTTTTAGTTATTTTTCAGTATGCGTAAAAAACTTACGCTTTTACGCTTTGATTCTACGTTTTACGATTTTACCCCTTTTCCGCGTCTAGGTAGAATCGCGCTTTTGACTGCATTGCTCTTTACTAATAAGCTCACCCGAGGCAAAAACAAAAGGACTCAAGACATTGCATCACAAAATCATCTTAAGAGAGATTAGATTCGGAAAAGAGAACAATATCATGTGCGAAGAAAAGGTGAGACAAAGCAGGTCCACAAGGGGAAAGACACACAGGTTTCCACTTTCCATCCTTAATTTCCTTAAGAATGCAATGGCTAAGTCTTTCAATGCATAAAGTAAAAGGTAAGGAGAGAGAGGACATCCCTGTCTTAAACCTCGAGATGGGGAAAAGCTCTCAGTTTCACCCTCATTCCATTGCGCACTTGAAAGGATGTGGTTGTCACACAAGACATGATCAATATGATATATGCAGGTGTGAGCTTCACAGCAACAAGAGTTTCCTCCGGGAAGTGCCAATCAATTCTATCATAGATTTGGTGAGGTCAACTTTGAGAAGCATGATCCCCTTCTTCCCAAGGTTTTTTGACATAGAGTGGACTGTTTCCTGCAAAATAATAACATAGTCAATGATGTGACAATTGGGAACAAAGCTTGATTGGTTGGGGTGGACAAGCTTTGGCATAAGCCTTTTCAAGTTGTTTGCACATGAGTAGTGGAAGAAACATGCCTTTCGATTACCAGCACTAATGTCTGATGTGATTTTTGTACACTATTTTGTATTCTAGTTCATCAACCTCTTTCTTTCTTTCCCTCTCTGTTGTATCTTCTAGAGTCACAACCTGTTCCCGCTAACTAACTCCTTTCTAGTTAGGCACTACGAGCGAGCTTCTTCATATCCTTTTGTATTGTTTCAAGATGTGGATCGGGAGGGCGGGGTATAAATTACTTGTGGTATTTCAGTGGTAATTGGATTAAAATATCTCATATGGTAGAACCATGCAAATTTTGTAAAAACATAATGGTAAAACGAGTTTTCTCGAAATAATACAAGGGTAGGAGTTATTTCAAATAACTCATTTTGAGTTATTTAATAACTCAATTTAGTAAAATGCTGTCAAATGAGTAATTTGTGTACAAATAACTCACTGTGGGGGCGTTTGGATGGAGTATTTGTATGAGTTATTTGCATGGTCCATGAAACCGTACCGTAACGGCGGTTCAACCACGAAATACCAGTATTAGAGGATAAAACGGTAGGCGGTATTTAACGGTACTACGATTAAGCCACGATTTTACCATAAAATACCCTACCGCTGGTTTTCCCAGTGCGGTCTCCAGTGCGATTTCATGGACCAGAGTGATTTGGGTTCAAATAACTCACAATGAGTTATTTAGACACAAATAACTCGTTTGACAACATTTTACTAAAATAAGTTATTTGAACAGTAAGTTATCAAAACGAGTTATTTGAAATAGCTCATACCCCATTTTATTTCGAAATAACTTGTTTTATCACTCTATGTTTACCAAATACTTTATTTCAATTCCCGCTGAAATACCACAGGAACAATAAATAATTTATTTGACTCTACAAACACCACATTAACAACTCACAAATAACACAATACTCCAATTCGGCGCTTACCATGCTGTCTGGTTTCACTCACAATACTCCAATTCGGCGCTTACCATGCTGTCTGGTTTCACTTGCTTTACAGAACCCTTTTGAGGGTAACGATACAAACAAATGGTAATTTCAGTTCATCACAAAGGCAGACTGACCATAACTCTGAACAGAAGGCAACTGAAACCCAATATATTACTAGTAAAGTCTCTGGTGGTTTCAAGCTTAGAACATTATCATTGAATCTCCGAGCAAAACAGCCGACAGCAGCACAAGGGGTAGTATAACCTAACAATATGACAGTCTGTCCCGTAAAAAAGACCAGGAATCCAGCACTGTCCCAATTCTCCCGCCATACCCTTCCTTCTCTCACGCTATCTCAAACTCTTCTCTATATCAAAGGATCTTCTCAAAAGACCGTTAACGGTGCCCTACTAACTCATCAGCGAGCCTCACACATTTTACTTTCAACTGTACAAGCGCAACCCTATGAAACCCACCTAAATAAAAGAGTCTCAGCAGCAGACTTACTCTACCTTTTTCTTTTTCTTCTTCTTCTTCTTCTTCTTCTTCTTCTTCTTCTTCTTCATGGAACAGGGAAATAAGAAAGAAAAATAACGACAGGAAAACACGGAGGATCCTACAACAGATGGAGAAAGTGCTCTTTTCTATAAGTGCATTCTGTTGCTATAGATACCGTTTCCATTTGTTGTCGTCATTTTCGCAAACTTAGTGGCATGTCCGGTTTGGTAAACGCTTATTTTCGCGATGCCATTCCCAACTCCGTTGGTTTTCTCGGATCCATTGCTTACCCTGTGGCTTTGTTGTAACACACCCTCCAGTTGTCCGCAAGCTGCTGCTATCAGACCTACACGATCAATCAAAGTTGCCCACGAAAGTCCAACTATGTTATCAAACCAAGCAAGCAACAGATATCCGAGATGGTATGATTCGTTGGTTTATCGACACAACTCAGTTAAGAGAGTTACATGTGAACACCGGAGAAGGTTTTCTAGGTCTCGATTTAAATTCTGGGTGGAATTGAACACCAACGTAATATGGATGATTGGGCAGCTCAATGATCTATTTGTTTCAAACACCGAAGGGCACACTCGTCAGAATCCCACTATAGTCCCAGGCCTGGACAAATTCTGGAAACAGAAGAAGAGTAGAGGGAGAGAGGGGGCGGGGAGGAAGAAAAAGGGTCGGTCATAATACCTCCATGCGTTGCCCAGTCTCATCCTTGCCAGTGAAGGAGAGCCCAGCATCTTCAAAACGTGCTACCATATCAGGATTCACCTAAATAGTGCAAGAGTCTTAGTGGAATGTGTCGAGCTATCAAACAATGAACCAAACCAAATGATAACACTTGGATGCTCCGCCATACCTCATATCTATGCCGGTGCCTCTCATCAACGTAAGTTTTGTTTCCATATCTGGAAGTAGAAAGACAGAAAAGTTGGTTTAATGTTGATCGACAAAGGACTGCACTCATTAGTAAATATCTTCAGAAAGTCGTATTATGATCACTTACAACTTTGCAGATCTGCAGTCAGTCGCATGGAAATAAGTCCTCCTTGACCCCAGTCGCATGGTACCACCCATGTGGGTTTTTTAGCCCTAAAAATAATGGGGGAAAGCATATTAGAAAAAGAATGAAAATGCAAGGAATTGCTCTGTAGGGGGAGCCATGACAGAAGGTCAAACCTCATGCATAAATATGACGCACGTGTTCTTGGTGTGAGTGTCGAACTCGGTGCTATTAGCGTCTTGCATATTGAGAACAGATCTTGCAAATTCAATGACAACAATTTGCATGCCAAGGCAAATGCCAAGGTAAGGGATTCGGTTCTCCCGCGCATATTTTGCTGCAAGAATTTTCCCTTGCACACCTCTATCGCCAAATCCTCCAGGAACAAGAATCCCATCCGCATCCTGAAAGTGGAAGGGGCCGCATCATTGACCATTGGACCTCAGGACTGAGAGCAAATTAAACAAACAAATCACTTAGTTCTACTAGGCCTGCCACCAACCTTGAGCAACTTCCATGCAGCTTTATAAGCATCAGGGTTCTGCGAAGTCAGAAGAAGCCATGTTAGTAATGTGAATAGGTCGGAAGATGAAATCTGAGTGCATGGTTTCTAACTGTAATTTTTTCATTCACCTCTTGTACTGTTTCATCTTCTAGATCCGTAGCCGGAACCCAATCAACAACAAGTTTCTTATGGAGAGCAACAGATGCATGCAAGAGAGCCTGACACCATTATAACATAAAGCACATGAAAATAGAAAGATGGTATAACCCCTTAAGAAAATTCTACAAGGTATTTACATGAACAATAAATAATGCATAAAACATGAAGCTATATCATCTCCAATGAACTACTTAAGAAATGAGTCCCACCTTTAGAACAGAAAGGTAGGCATCTGAAAGACCTGTATACTTCCCGACCATAGCAATTCGAACCTACAATGATGATTCAGACGTGAAATTTGAAAGCTGACAGTAAGAGAAGGCTGAAGTAAATGGATGAGCACCGGCTTAAGCCATACCGGTTCATGCAAAGCATCACAAAGTTCAGCCCTAGCTGTCCATTCCTTTAGGTCAGGCTCCTTGGCTACACTGTAATATATAATCACGTTAGGGTGCACATGCAAAGAACTGTACTCAAAAGCAAATATAAGGGATGAAAACAAAAAACACAATCAAACACTAGCCTGTGAAGGTTTAGAACTCTCAATATGGCTTCATGAGCTTTCTGATCCTGAACAAACAAGCAAATGATAAAATGATAAGCTGGATCAAGTGACAGTTACAGGAGAAGCAATATGAAAAAGTGTAGCAATAACACTTACCCTTAGCAATAGAGGAATGTGCCAAATGTTGGGAACATCATACCGAGTGACTATGTTTTCTGACGGCCAAACAAAAGTGGGCTTCTCAATTTAGCAAAGATAGAAATACAAGAGAAATAAAGAAAGAACCGAGTAATAAACATGAAGATCAACCCACCGGAACATGGCAGAACTGAGCAAGTTTCTATTTTACATTATCCTCAAGCTCCTGCATAAACAAATTACAAAAAAAATTATTGTTACTCAGAGCCGAAGGCAAGTTTTTTTTTTTTTTTTTTGGTGTGTAGGGGGTGAAAGCAAAAGATAGATATGTACCGATGTACTGCGACAAGCTAAGATATCCGGAGTCAAACCAAGGCCTCTTAGTCCCCGAACACTGTGCTGAGTTGGTTTTGTTTTCTGCAATGGATGATAATGCATGCTAAGGACAGTATCTAGACATAATCCTTGTATAGTTCAAGCATGAAGATTCGCTTCAAATGTAAGTTGCGCAAACTCTTACCTGTTCGCCAACAACATTCAGGACAGGAACGAGACTAACATGAATGAGACAAAAGTTTCCAGCACCTGTAACACAGATACCGTATCACAACAGAGACAACGATCATATAGCAACAGGTCTCGCTTAAATGGAAATTGATGAAATTAGAGAGCCAATTGTTTACCAACTCGATAGGAGAATTGGCCCAGAGCCTCGATGAATGGCATGGATTCTATGTCCTCTGCAGGAAAAGCAAAGTTGAATCACTATGATGAATAGAAAATAAGTATCTCTTCCAAGGCTAAAGAATTCTTCTCTTCGCATTTACCTATAGTTCCGCCCAATTCAATGACACAGACATCATCAGGGTTTGACGTTCCATCTACATTCTACAGGTACCTGAGCAACACGATGTATCCAGTCTTGAATGGCATCTGTGACGTGAGGGACAACCTGTACAGTTTTTCCCAGATAGTCTCCTCTTCTTTCTGCATCGATGACAGCCTATATGACACGATAAGACAGGAGAACTCAGAATCGAGAGGGCCGGCACTAAAACAATCATCGGAACCATCAAAAGGTTTAAGTACATAAAAAGGAGAAGCATGGACTTTAACCAGCTTGCCTGTGTTATCTTTCCAGTAGTGATGTTATTATCCCGCGTCAGTTTGATATCAAGGAACCTCTCATAGTTTCCAAGGTCAAGGTCCACCTTTTAAACAAAAGAAAAGTGTCATTTCTCGTTCACTTCAAATCAACTTTCAACCTTTCCACCTCTAAAATTGAAGGTGACCCAACTTGATAACCGGTGGTGCACAAGCTCAACCTCAATCAATTTACAGTACTTCAAACAAAAACAAAAAAATTAAGCCTGCAAACTACAAGTGGAAGAAAAAGTCTAAGAAAGATGGAGCTACAGCTACCACTAAAATGTCCATAAAAACCCAAGCTTAAACAAACAAGACAAAACCTTAAAGTGCTTAAAGACCGATAAAAGGAATTCCTCGCTTCCCATGGGAAACATCCACAACCAATGGTTGCCAAAACTTGGAAAAAGCTAAAAAGGGCATCCTTATTTACCTCACCCCGTCATCAAGGACAAACACCTCGTCATGCTCAAAAGGTGACATTGTTCCAGCATCAGTGTTCAGGTAAGGATCTGAAACAGGACAGATAACGGAAAAAAGGAAGAAGCTTTAATAATATACTTAAATAAGAAACAGAGTAGCCCACTACTGTGGCTCACCAAAAAAAAGCCAAAGCATCCCACCAGAATAAAATGAGAAGAGGGTAAAACAACTCAACCATCCGTTTGATGAATGCTTCCAAAACAATCAAAGGGATACCAGAAACGATAAAAACCGCCAACCACTACCAGCTAGTAACAATCCGTGCAATGCCCTTAAGGAAACAGTAAATTGGATTTTGGTCGTTGATAAGAATTTCAAAGTGCAGCTTGAGCATAGCAGAAAATGTGTAATTGCTTGATTAAATTATCGTGATTACAGAAAGGAGCAGGCGAAGATAACCACGCACGCGCACTACTCCATTATTTTAATTTTCATTTCTAAAACAAAGCAACAGAAAAGGGACAGATGAAATCAAGAAAGAAACAGAGTGGGTCTGAATGTTCAGAGAGATAACAGGATAGGAATGAGAAACTAAGCGGAAACAACAAAACTAAATGAGGATAGAGCTCCAAACAAAAGCGAGAAAGCAAAGCAGCAAGAATTCAAAAATCAAAATCAAAAGCGCCCAAGTGTGAGAAGAAGCCGCAATAGGTGACTGCCGGCAGTAGTTTGTTCTGCAACCATAGATAGCTATATGGACCAAAGAAAAATCAACCTAACGAACAAGCAAAGGTCAGAGAGGCGCAGAGGGAGAAAAGGCAGAGAAAGAAGAAGAAGAAGAAAGAGACCGATTTTGATAGAAGTAACTCGAAGTCCACAAGCCTTCAGAATGACGCCGACACTGCTGGCGGTCACTCCTTTCCCGAGTCCGCTCATCACTCCTCCAGTCACAAGCACGGACTTTATCGTCAATTTTTTGTTGTTGTTCTTGATGCTACTGAGCTTTTCTCGCACCCAAAAAAAATTATAAAACAAAAATCTCTCCTTCTGGTGAAAAAAATTCAAATAGAGAATCGGTATCAGAACAGTCATTGAAAAACCCGAGAAAGAGAGAGAACGGAGGAAAGCAAGGGAGGAGAACCTTAGAAACTCCGTCAATGGCGGTTGTCAGCTGCAGCCACCGCGAGAGTAAGTAGAAGAAGAAGAAGCTAGATCCCAGGAATAAGTGTAGAACGGGGTTGGCAATGGTTAGGAGAGCGAACCGCTGACAAAACAAACTCGGTCGATTCGAATTTGGGTGAAGTAGGAATCGGTGAAGGAATCGGGAGCAGAGTGGGGGAATGGCGAATGAAGTGAGGGAGTGGAGTGTACGATTGGAGGAGCGGCGGAGGGAGAAGAAGAAGGCGGAGGGGGAGGCGGCGGCGGCGGCGCGGGAGGGAAGGGGAGAAAAGAAAATGATAAGAGAGTGAGGGAGGGAAGTTTGGAAGAGAAATGGGGAAAAGGAGTTGTTGGTTTTAGGGAGAATGAGAAGCTGATGGGCTTCAGCTTACAGGTACTGACAGCCTTTTATATCCGCAAACTGCCCCACTTTGCTAAGCCCAGGCAGTGAGAGTACACACACTACTAAACTCGAACGAACCTGCGCTTTAGGGTTTTTTTTGCCCTTTTTTTTTTTTGCTTGACGGGAAAACAATGAAATAAAATAAGACGCGAATAAAACATAATTAATGTCTTTTCCATGTTTTTTTTATATACATCAAAGATAGTTTGCATTATCAAGAAATTCGAGATATAATGTTTACAACTCCACACGTAAGCAAGCGTAAAATTGAAGCCGAGTATATTCAATAGAAAACAAAACGAGGGCCTTGTTAGTTACCCTAGAGGTTACTTTATTGTTCTTCTTTTTATCGTAATCTATAGTAACTTCATTAATAAAATATTGCAGTTGTAGTTACAGTGACTAACATTGTCTTATCAACAAGGAAAATAGGTAGTGTATCAAACCAAACCACACTCTAGTTACATCTCATTTTCGAATGGGACATGATATGAGCTGTCAGATTGCATTCTCTAGGGAAACCACCAAGATCCATTTCCTGTCTCTGCGGGAGCTTAATTATACTTCTGCAAACGACTCCATTCTCTGTGAGGGTGCTTCCTGCTATTGCTAGCTTGTGAATGAGCGAAAGACAATTTGTTCTGAGGACCAGATTGGTCATATTGGCTTGTACAAGAAGCTACAAAGCAAATTCTGATGCAAGGCTTCAGGAATCCCGGGACTTCCACGTCCAAGAGCCTTCTTCGTAGCAGCAAGGATAAAATTTCCCTCGACATTGCGAATAACCACGCCTAAGCCAGGACCACCCGCAACAAAAAAATCCGTCATTTGTGTTGATCTTTAAGTGCACATGGCTCAGTTTCTGCCAAAATTTTCCCGCTGTGGTCTCTGCTGTGACGTCATCACTAACCTCGTACGAGTGATAGTCTACAATAAACAAAATTTTGTCATGTAAACAATCTCATTCTCTATCAGTTTAATGTCATTAAACATGTGAGCATTTCGTTCTTTCCATAGAAACAACAAGAGCACACTCCAATCTTCCAACTCACCCTCCTGCTTAGTCTCTAGCACGGCGTTGAACCACGAATAGCAGCAATCCAAAAGACGACAAGCACAACAATCAATCAGCTTCAACCTACAGCATAACCTAGTGGACCACTCATATTCCCCAAAAATATGAGTTTAAGTCTCACGGATGTCGCAAATCGCACATTTGTCACCCCACTTTTTGCTCTACGTACTTATATGATCCCTCGTAGGAAGTATGTTTCTAGCAAAGCACCATGCAAGTGCTTAGATTTTTGGAGGAACATTCAATTCCCATAAATGTTTCCAAACATGGACTTCCTCGGGAAGTTTGCGAGCTTTAAAGTCCTCTAACCAAATGCGATACCCAACTCGCACCATGTAATCCCCAAAAGTGTTCCCATCCAGATTAGCCTATCATTTTTTCCTTAACGTTACGTAAAAGTATTTGGTGAATGACATCAACTATCTAGATAGGGAAACACACCACAAGAAACGACCGCATCCCACTAATCTGTGTACTGTTAAATAAGCTCTCGTACAATAGCGCAGACAGGGAGTCCCGTTAGGATTGAACTGACATAGGCCACATGGGAGATAGGGAAGCCCGCTATTTATGAAATCATGCGAACTCATTAAACTACGTCAAATAAAAATGGATCCAAAATTCTAGGCGAGCTTAACAAAAGTCTGAATTACCTAATAAATAGAGCCACCCTTCGCATCTGTCGAGCATCCAGTGTTGACTTTGTCAATGAGCGTCTTAGCATTGCCAATCAGACACACCAAGGCGAGGCCCTTCCTAACACACCACTAGATTGTCTCTCAGAGTGCCACCAACGGTGGCTCCAGAGCACCCTCAAACCGATCCCCGCGAGCTAGCACCACAACCCCAAATTATCCTACAAAACCATACCAATAGCCTCATCAGAATCCTGACACAGAGCCCCATCGAAAGAACAAACCATCCTTGTCTCTGGACTTAAATCCACATTATCAACGTGAGGGCCCTGGCACACCCCCCCCCCCCAGAAGAGCTCCTAGCCTCCCAATTGGTAATCACGAACCACTCTTGCACCTACCCCCAAATGATGTAAGCACGTTGGCCATCAAGAAGGTCAATTTTCAAGCATTCCAAGTAGTTCTAAAATCAAAGAAGAAGGAAGTGTTGAAATTGGCTAAGTGCGGAACAACTTTAAGGTGTCTACCTTGGGCTCTTACCCGTTCATATTGGGAGCTCGTTGAGGGAAGCTGGGAGTTGGAGGTGAGAGTACAAGTCTTGCTAAAGATTGTAAAATCGTTGGGTGAGAATATTGAAGCTTCCTGGACACCGAACGATCAACCTGAAGATCGTATGGTGATTAGGAAAAAATCCCCTATCATATGAGGTATAATCCCCTATAGGGGATCTGAGGTTCATGATAGGGAATCATGGCAGGTGACCGGAGATCACAAGAAGGAGACCCCCCGGTCATGAGGGTTCTAATCCCTAATAAGGGATCTAATGGTGCACGATAGGGGATTTGCCCTAACGAGTTGAACTTACCTTTTGAGTTTACGAGTATTTTCCTTTTCAGGTTTTTGTTTCTCTAGCCTATATAAAGTCTTTAAACTCTAGTTTTCTAGCATAATTTTGTCTGATTGAAAAACCTCTTTTGTTCACTGAGCTTTTGGCTTGTGAATTTTGCTCTCATCGTTGGTGGACTCCAATCGCGTTAAGTGTGTCTCTGTATCAATGAAGCATCCATCTTGATTGTGATCGAGCTTCTACCATATATTGATAGAGCCTTCTCCTAGGTGTGAGATTGCACTTCAATTTCTTCGTATCCCTATATTAAATTCTTGTTTTAGGCTGTGGGACTTTGATAACACCGGTTACGTGCTCATATCAAGTGGTATCACAACTTCGGTTCAACACAGTGGTGAGGAAGACAACGAAGGTACAAACCCTGGAGCCAAACCTTGCAGACACAATGAAACAACTTGTAGCACAGATGGCTCAGATGTGAGTTTTGCTTCAAACCATGGCTGATCAGAGTTTGAGTTCTCCGGTGCAACAAAGTTTGAGTTTTGAGGAATTTGAGGTCGAGATAGAGGACGAGTCGAAGGATGGCTTTGCTTCTAGCGAGTTCCTTGAAGGCAGTAGAGTGGTATCTTCAACACCGGGCACTCTAGAGAGAAAGAAACTCGAAGGGATTGAATCCTCGACCAATCGTCCAAAACCACAAAAGGATAATGGAGATTTCTACATTAATGGTCACGGTGGAAAGGAGCAGATGGCTTATCTCAATCGTTTTTACAACTATTGTGATGATGATTCTCTTGCCATAGCCCACAAGCTATGAGGGAAAGGCCTTTCCAACGGGAAGGTACTGATTTAAGCACGCTAGGCATCAAGAAGGTCAATTTCCAAGCATTCCAAGTAGTGCTAAAATCGAAGAAGGAAGTATTGAAATTGGCTAAGTGCGGAAACAACTTCAAGGGGCCTACTTTGGACACTTACTCGTTCATATTGGGAGCTAGTCTATGGAAGCTGGGAGTTGGAGGTGAAATTACAAGTCTTCCTAAAGATCGTAAAGGTGTTGAGTGAGAAGATTGAAGATTCTTGGACACCAAACGAGCAACCTGAAAATCGTATGGTGATCAGGAAAAAATCCTCTACCATGTGGGTTATAATCCCTTATAGGGGATCTAAGGTTCGTGATGGGGGATCATGGTAGGTGACAGGGGATCACAAGCAGGAGCCCCCTCGGTCATGAGGGTTCTAATCCCCGATAAGGGAACTGATGGTGGACGACAGGGGATTTGACTCTAATGAGTTGAACTTACCTTTTGTGTTAAGGAGTCTTTTCCTTTTCGAGTTTTTGTTTGTGTAGCCTATATAAAGGCTTTAAACTCTATTTTTGTAGCGTACTTTTGAATAATTGAAAAACCCTTTTGTTCATTGAGCTTTTGGCTTGTGAATTTTGCTCTCGTCGTTGGTGGACTCAAATAGCGTTGTGTGAGTCTATGTATTAATCAAGCATCCATCTTGATTATGGTCGAACTTCTACCTTATATTGATAGAGCCTTCTCCCAAGTGTGAGATTGCACTTCATTCCGTCGTATCCCTATCTTTAATTCTTGCTTTATCAAGCTGAGCATGGTAGCTTAGGCTTGGCTCATTTACTAACGAGCCGGCTCGTAAGCCGGCTTGTTAAATGACGAGCAGAGTGTCGAACGAATTTTTCACGATTCGAACGCCGAGTTGCTCGCGAGCGGCTTGGCTCATTTGCAGCCCTAGCTGCGATGCGTGATAAGACAGGGGTATTGTGTAGAAGTATTCGTCGAGTTGTAGAGGGCACGAGAGAAGGAAGATGACATCACATCAGTAAGGAAGCCAATGAAGGCGCCCATGTGATGGCTCATGAAGAAACTAACGGGAATGAACCTGTAGTTTGGCTTGATACGCCTCCAAATTTTCTTGTTAATCAGCTTCAACTTGATCATGTAACCGCATGATCTGATTAATAAATAAGATCACAGATTTTAGTAAAGAAAAAAAGAGCACGCCAAAAAATTATGGGGTCGTTTGAATGGATCAATCTAGAAATGAGACAATTTGACCAATTGTCTCATTTTATAAACGAGTCAATTTGAATTACGTATCATATCCAAGACTATTAAAATTAACTCAAAACAGATCAATTCAAAATAACCCAGGCAAATTAATCTATCCAAAAATCAAACGAGTTAATTTGGTACAATTGTCTCAAAACGAGATTATTGTATCAAATTGATCCTTTACCATTGCAAAATGCAAACGAACCCTATACTCTGACTTCAAAGGGAAGGACCGAAGGGAGATCCAGAAGTTTCACCGCTTCTCATCCATCGACCATCGCCATTACTCCCGGCCATTCAGGCACATCAGCAGAAGGCAGATAGAACTCATTTTCAATCGCGATAAAATTCGCATATCCGCTCTCGTTTTCCGGTCGGTATTCATGATTCTGTTGCAGTCGCATTCTAGATTTCTCATCGAGACCTTGTCGAATCGGGTCCAGAAGTGCGTCTTTTCAGATTCCTATCTCAGTTTTCATAATGTCTCAACTCCTACGTAACTTTTCCACCTCTTAGTTGCTTTCACTTCTTTCTCTGAGCATTTGGTCCGGTCTGTTCTCAGTCTTGACAAGGCAGTTGAGCTGGATTACAACTGGGTTGAATTCGGAGATATTCGGTACCACGTTCAGGTGATTCCAATGCTTGATATGCCCTTTTGAATCTCTGTGGTTTGGGCTCTTCAATTTGTGGCATTGCTTACGATTTCCCTGGAAAAATCAAATCTTTTAGGTGACAACAAAGCACCCAAACGTTCTGCTTCTGTCCGTGTCGCTGCCTATCCCACCTCCAGAAACCGTGTTCGTGGGCGGACTCCCTTTTGGAGCCATAGAAGCTATCAAATCGGCGTATGGCTCGGTTGTACAGATTCTTGACCCTCCCAAGGATGGCTTTAACCTCACTTTGAAAATCAATTTGGCTAAACTACCTACTGATGAAGGTTCTGCGAGTTCCTTTCCTAAGGTCATTATGAGCTTGCCATGTATATATAAACATGCAACACTCTGTTGGGACATTCTCATTGCTTCTACTTGAACTCACACCTGCACATTCTCATTTCTTCTGCCTTGATTGAATTGCCTGCATTCTTAATGGCGTATGTAGGGCTGCAAATGAGTCGAGTCGAGTTTTGCTAAGATTGAGCTCGACTTGTTTCTTAACAAGCAGAGCTGGGCTGAATTTCGCCTAAGCTTGAGGTTGACTCATTAAGAAAGGAGCTGAGCTCGAGCTTGACTCATGAAAGAGCTCATAACCTCTACTCGAGCTCAGCTCATTTATATTTCTAAATGGTTGAAGCCTTAAATTAAACTCTAAAAAACTTGACTACCGTAATATTTGTATGTTATATATGATACATGTGGTCAATAAAAAAAGAATAATAGTCAGATTTTATCACTAATTGATCTCATGTATATATACTATGTTGGTATAATATAATTTAGTTCATAGTTTTTAGCTAATTCATATTATGTTATTTAATAATATGTAGTAACTAAACATTCTATAATACATAATTTCTTTATCAAATTATAAATGTGTCATATTTGGTCTCATTAAGTTTTATATATATTGATTCGCTCATAAGTTACTAGTCGAATTGGCTCACTAACTATGTTAGCGAGCCAACTCATTAGTTAAACTCAATGAGCCACTGAGTCAAGCTAGCTCGCGAGTTTCATGAGCCGAACAAGGATGAGCTCAGGCTTAGCTTGTTCACTAACGAGTCGAGTTACGAACGAGCTTTTTCTCAGTCGAGCGTCGAGCCGCTCATGAGCAGCTTGACTCATTTGCTGCCCTAGTTGTCCTTGGCTCATGTGCTTTTGTTTATTAAGGCATATTTGAGTTCCCTTTTCTGTTTCTCTTTCTCCTGTAATGATTTGCTGATGTGAATATTAGGACCTGATATAGAATGGTTATTATGGTTAATGACCGTCATTTGAAACAAAAGAGTATTGTCAATCTTATTTTCAGGGTCTTATGATCCCCAAAATACCTCGCCACCTCTTTGTGCTATGCTGATTATAGTTTGCTTGCCGTGACCTTCCTCAACTATTGATAAGTGATTCCTTGTCTGGACTAGACTAGTGGTTAAGATTTATGGCTGCCATTTGGGTTCCTTACAAATGAAACTCATCATAACTTTATGAGTATTACAAGTTCTATGAGGCAGGTGTGACTCATATAAATTGTTCTGAGACTAAGCTACAGGTTTATATTAGTTGCAAACCCTGGTCTTGGCTTATAGTCTTGTTGGTATTATGCAGAGCGCAAGCAAGCTCTTCTGATGAAGATCGCATCTGTGAGGGAAGTTGTACTAGGTGCTCCACTGAGTGTAGTTCTTAAACATCTTTCTTCGAGGACTGTTGCTCCTGGTGTAGATGGGCTTCTGGCCCTTGTTCATCGACCTAATGAGTCCTTTTTCCTTTTTCCTCAGGTACAAGCATATTGGCGTGTTTGAGCCTTTGTTCTTGTTATCATTTCTGTCAGTAAATGTTTAGAGAATATTCACTAGTATCGAGATCTACTTGTCATGTTCAAGTTATAGCGAAACCAAAATTCCATTGATATATATTGAGCGGAGACTGTAACCATTCATGGCAGGCTGAAAGAGTGACGGTAGTATATCCTATGAGATTCAGCGACTCTGTGGATACTACATATGCAGCTTCCTTCCTACAGGTATATTCTCACCTTAGTATCCTACTTTGAAAATGTCAGTAGTTGGCTAGTTGCTGTCTAGTCATACCATTATAAAAATTAGATATTTACGAGTTGGTCTGTTCTTGCATAAAATTAATGGCTTGATGAGGAGCTGGTCGAAGTAAAGTTTATATCACCGGTTTTTCTCCACTGGCCTTGGTTTAATTGCAACACTGACCTCCCTACAAGTCCTCGTTAACCTTATTTTACTAACTCAACTGAATCTCCTTTTTCAAACCCTGATATTTTTTTGACCAATCTGAATACCGCTGGTACCCTTGCATTCTCTTACATTTCCTTGCTTGATGTTGGTGAATTCCTGGATATTTTTTAGGTAATTTTTCATTTTTTTTTTCAATTTTCATTCAGGAATTTGTGGAAACAAGGCGTACTGCTGGGCTTACTAGTGCCCCTGTGTGTTCCTGGTCGCCTGACCCTCCTCCCGAATTAAAAGAAGCTTCTGCTGAACCATTATCTGCAAATGCTGGATTTGTATCGTTTGGTAATGTTGTGATTAGTCCTGAAACTGGTTTGCACTTTGATTCTTTTGATAGCTGATCCATATTTTGTCCTCCTGGTTGCAGTTATTTATCCCCGTCACGTGGAGGGCAGGAAGCTGGACAAGACAGTGTGGAATCTGTCAACATTTCATGCATATGTTAGTTATCATGTTAAGGTCAGGTTCCCCCATTAAAAGAGAAAAGAACTGTACAGATGATTGCTTATATTTTGTTTTTCTTCTCAATGATTTATGCAAGGTTTTGTAACTGGTACAGACTGATAGCCTAACGTCCAAAACCTTGGAAATGCTGAATATCCCACTCTTGTAGGACTTGAATTGCACCAAAGTCTGTTACTCGGTTGTGAAATTTTGCTTGGCTGGAAAATGGCTCAAGTAACTGAGAAGACTGCTATATTCTAAAACGTTTCCCTAGTGTAGTCGGTACCTCTGATTTGAAGTAGGTTAGAGGATGTTTAGTTTATGACTCACAATCTTTGACTGTCTGAATGCTTCTTGATCACAAATGTTTCATCTGTTCAGTCCCTTTGAATTCCATTCCATCAACTTCTTAGCTATCCTGATCTTCATTAAACAGTGCACAGAGGCTTTCATGCATACTCGAATGAGGAGGAGGGTGGAGGGTATGATACAGGTAATATACTCCTTAATCCATTCATGTTTATCTTGCATTTGTTTCCCGGGTCACTGATACAGAAAATCGAGTATGGTATTTCTTGATGTGCCTTGAGAAGCTAAGGGGCAAATACTTAATCTATTGAAATTAGGACCTAGTTAGGTAGCTGGGGTAGTAGTGGATCTTGTTCTGAAATATGGTTCTCTAAGTTGAAAATAACTAGTAAAGGGTGCCAGTGATTAGACTCCTTTCAACCTTCATCATTGGGAATGAACACAAAAATATCCTCTGGCTGGTACAGAACCACCCAAGTTTAAAGGGCTTTTGCCATTGTGTTTTGTCTGCAGGCGTTGGATCAAGCAAAACCAGAATCAGAGGAAAAAACAAAATCTCCGAACAATCGATCGTTCAAACGGCTGGTAGGTTTCTGTTAACTGATACACACAGGCTCTGGACTACCGATTGATGGTATCGATCTGATACGCAATTTTGTTTTCTCTATCATGCCTGGCCATCGAATTTAGAGCATCAAAGAAGGCCGAACAAATTCAAAATCGTGAAGAACGGAAAGCTTGGTTTGTGGTGCCCCTTCTTGATCAACATCGCCCATCCACCTCCAAAGTTGAGGTTACTATATTGTTTCCCTCCGAGAGGCTGGGAAATAGGAACTTGTTGACGTGCACGAATTCTTATTCAAACTCCAACCTGGTAGGAGTCCGATTTTGATGGCTTTGTAAGGCTATTTTTTTTTTGTTCTTTGCAAGTGTAATCTTCAGTTGCTTTGCTAGCTCCTCTCGAGACCTTCAATTTTATCTTTATGTTCTTCATCATTTTCTGCTGTGAGATCAAACTTTCAACTGCTCTGGAAGATGTTCATGTGATCAGGTCCCCCCAATGGATAAGCTTTTTGATACAGAAGATAAGGCCAACGAGGTAGCAGCTTACCAAATATTGCATCTTTTTTTTTTCTTTCTTCCACCTATAAGTGGTTCATTTCTATATCTCAAAGCAAAAGAAAATCTGAAAGTAGATTTTTCAGGGAAAGCGAAATCTTCGTCATTCAGTGAGTTGTAACATAACCATTGCGGTTTTGATAAGCTCTTTCTCGAATGCAAATGGCAGTTCACGCCAAAATGTCATCACCGTGGGCCAAACTCAATCAGTAGTAAGGTTTAAAAGAATTTGAGACTGAAATGGAAGAAATTTGATTGCTCTCAAGCGGGAAACCAACGGACTGCAAAGAGGCAGGTTGATTTTTGTACAACGAGTGGGAGCAGAACATGAACTAAAGAATTTTCTAACCCCCCATAAAAAGACGACCAAATTCCCATAAAGGGGGAAGGGGAAGTGAACAGAGAAAACCAGGCAAAACAAAAAGAGAAAAGCTGCTGCCAGCACCCAAACACTACAATTCTCTCTCCATTTTCCTGCATTGCAGATTCAGATTCAATATCCAATGTGAAGCCGATGAGAGATGAGATGAGTGCGAGGCATATAACTTGATGAGAAATGTTTTGTTGGATGGGGAAATGCAAGAATGGTGGATGAAGTTTGCAGGAAAGGGTGGGGAATGCTGGCATTGCCTATATCCCTCTTCCCTTCCCCAGTCGCAACGAGGAACCATTGAAATACGTTTATCACTGTTTGTATGTACGGGAGGCAGGCAAGGATGATGATGATGATGATGATGGCGGCAAGTGAAAGGAGTTTCTCCGAAGGCAAGCAAGCAATCGGTGACCGCGCAAGGAAGCAGAGGCAGATAAGCGAGGGGGCTGTAGCCGCAGGCTGAGCGAGAGGGGGGGCTCCTTTCCTTCTCTTCTTCCTCTAATGGCAAAGAGAACCAACCAAAAGGTCCCCCAACGAAACAATTATTCATCTCACTCACTGTCTTCACCCCCCAATAAGTAAAGCACATGGTGGCTCATCTCATCTCATCTCATCTGACCTGCAGCACGGCCTCTTCTTTCTGTCTATCGGTCCATCTTCTTACATCACTCTGATTCACTGTCCATGCTCTCCATCCCCTTCAATCCTCGCCGTTTCTGCTGCTGCTAATCATAAACCAACCGCGGCACCACAAACACAAATTGAAACTATTAGACACACACCAATTCAGCAGTAGCATACCACAACGACAAACCAACCATGACTTGTATGTTAAGTTTTACTTCCTCTTTATCTTTAGACCATTTTTCTCAACAACTCCTCTCCACAACAAGTTATCACGAAAAAACTTCCCCCATAACCAAACCACCCCGTCCCAAATATAGTGACTCAGTACTGTTCGTGTCATATTTTTATATTATTTCATCCCATCTTATGAACGCTTCCCTATGTTATCATTTAAAGCGAAAATATTAAAAAAAACAAAGTAAGAGATCCATCACCCTGTACATACAGCCACCAGTAATTATGGATTGACCACCTGACCCAATTTCCCTGCCTGCCTAATTATAACATTGGTTTATGCAGTTTGCAGGAGGGGGACTTGGCTTTTCCAATAGCAACTCCATTAACAGACAGACCAAATCTAAGAAGAGGTGGCACTCGTCGTGTCCACCTCGCTTACCACACATTACCAATCTGCGTGTCCCCTTCCACCGCCCTACTACATTCCTATCTCTTCTCTCTCTTCTTTTTCCTCTCTCTACAGAGCTACTGCACATGTACCTGTGAATTTGCAGCACACCGAATAGTTGGTTTCAAGTTTCAACTCCTCCCCCTCGCAATCCCCTACTGGCTCGTGATGTAAGAAAAGGGAGGAAGAAAGATTCTTTCTTTTCAGTATGTATATAGCTTAGCTGCCTGTCTGCCTAGATATCTAGATCGTGTTATCTTATACCAAATCTCAACCTCAAGAAACAGCGGGAGGGAGGGAAGGAGGGGGCAGAGATCTAATCTACAAAGGCTATCTAAGTGGGTGGTTATTGATTTCCTCCATTTTCATTGCCCTCCTTTCTAATTTGAAATAATTGAGCACCAACATGATAGCTGAGAGAGAGAGAGAGATTCAAAGTGGAGAGAGCATTTACCTTCTTCACACTCTTCTTCTCTCTTACTTCGTACCTACTCTTTGTCAAATCAGACAGCCACATCCCTGGATAGCAAAACTGCCCACCCCAAAGAACAAAAAACATCCCATTATCATCCGCACATGCAAACATCATGGATCAGATTTCTGGGTTACAATCCAAAAACCCATTTCAGAGTTACAAACAAGCATATATGCAGATTGCTGATCAATGGGTTCTCGTTATTAAACTTTTTTTTTTTTTTTGGGTTTATCGTGTTCACAACTAAAACGTCCACCCAGAAACAAACAAAAGCATAAAGCTTTCAAAAGGTTTAGCTGGATTTGTGTTACCTGAAGCCCTCTATCAACATTTTTGGCCCTCTTCTTGGGCCGTTGGGGAAGCTTGGTGCCTTTCATTACCAGGAAATCATTCTCCTTTTCCTTCCTCGACAGTGACAGAAAAATCCTCGGCCACTCCACCGCCAATCTTTCCACCGGGGCTGCCGCTGTATTATTATGAACAGCTGCACCACCACGGCCACCTTCATGGTCCAGTTGGCCTGAAGTTGACTCTACGTGGTGGCGGCCGTGCCCGTGATGATGATGATCAGCAGCTGCTGCAGCTTGATGGTGGTGATGCAGCAAAGCAGCAGCTGCTGCTGCTGATCCATTCAATTTCTCATCCCTGCTAGACCGTGAGGTGGGCTGTTGCTGTTGGTGCTGAGCCTTTTTATCAACTTTGTCTGGAGTCGGAGGAGATCTTTTCCCCGCCGTAGTAGATCTAGAAACCACCCGGCTTCCACCACCACCGCCACCACTAGCCCGAGACGGCGACCCGTTCCCAGCAGATCGCTTTTCCAAATTCCTGGTCATCGCCACAGCCACCATACAACCCACCACCACAAAAGAATGAAGAAGAAAAAAACAAGCCCACAGATTAGTTAAGAAAAAACAAAGGCTGGCCTCGTTGGTTCTCTACAATCTGTTGTGTTATGGCCGCGTGTGCGAGACTTAGAAAGAGAGACAAGGACACAAAGTTAGAGAGAGAAAGAGAAAGGGAGAGAGAATTAATTGTAAAGAGATATGCAAGGTTCAAAAACCCGAACCCAAATCCACAGGAACAAATAAAGAAAAAAGAGCTGATGAATCAAACGAACGCAATTAAATACACAGCCAAACAGAGCTAATTTATCCCTCTCCCCCTCCCCCTCCCCAAATCATCACCACCACCATACAGCCAGACAGTCGTCCTGGCCATCACCCACCTTACAAAAGTACAAAATCATCATCATCATCATCAGCATAACTGAGTTAACAAGAAGACACCCTCAGTTCCTCACCCCATCTTATTAGATCCTACAAATCAAATAGCAAGAAATTTTAAAAAAAGCCAACCATAAAACAGTGAGATTCAACCAACCAACCCAAGCTTCCAAATACCCACAACCAGAAATCCACAAAAGATTTCATCTTTCGACAGTGGAGATATGCAGACAGGTAGACAAAGGGAGGAGGTTTGATCCCTCCCACCATCAATCAAATCCACCCACCACGACACCATTAGATTCAGCTAGCTAGCTAGCACACTACGGGCGATAATGCTGATGATGGACAGGTGAAGATCAGGAAAGGTTAGAAATTACCTCGTCCTCCCTACTCCTGTCATGACAAAAACCTCCAACCCCAGAAATGGAGGAAGGGCCAGGCTTATGCGATGCCTTCTCCCAAACCCCACGAATCGGATTGGCTACTACTATGTACTAATAACAGACAATCGTCAGAAAAACTATTAACTAGACAAGTCTCTCTCTATTCTTTTCTTCCTTTCTTTCCTTTTGGGAAAATTGGAATACCCGCTTGGCCAACGAAATGAAAAGTCAGGAATCCAGAATCACTCAGTTCGCCATATATATTCTCTCGAGGGGGTAGAACCGTAAATCACTCAGATGGCTGCCTAACGAAAGTTGCTTGCTACTATCAATCACAGGGCACAGGGACGAACGACTGCTCTTTTAACAAAGCAAATCAAACGCCAAATTGGTTGATTCTAAATCCCTAGATTGAATGGATTTCAGTTAAAAATCCGCAAAAGATAGAAATACATATATTTCGGGTTTACCTATGCGAGAGGAGAGCGGCGGTTTCTTTCCTGAGGTTGCCTCCCCTGCCGTTGGTCGTTTGCTGGGGATGTTGTGCCGCCGCCGGCGGAGGAGGCGGCATAGACGGAGCCGGCAGCTTGCTGTCGTCTAGTCTCCTGGTGACCTTAGAGGCGACGGTTTGTTGCCTGGCTTGACCGGAAGATGAGGATTCATCGGCCAGAGCCCGGATCTCCGACCGGGATACCCTCGCCCTCTTCTTCTGACCCCATTGCAGCAACATATCGCCGCTCCCACCCCGGCTGGGCGGACTAGCCTCCCGTTTGTCGGAGAGCGAAGGGCTCCCGGCTGCGACGCCATTGCTGCTGCTGCTGTGGTGGTGAAAATCCTGCGTTCTGGACGGCGATCTGTATCTGAACCCTTTGATTTCGTAACCAGTGGGGGACGAGCTGACTCCGACTGGGATTGACCGGCCGCTCGTGCCGACGGTGCTGGTGGGCTTCTTGCCGTTTGGTAAAGGGAGACAATCTGGGCTTACGCTCTGATATCTGCAACCAACAACCCATTTTTTTCACTGGTCAGCGACTCCCCCGCAACAAACAAACACTCAGACCTAAGAAACCATATCAAAATTCAATCAGAAGGAAGCCATGTTAATCAAAACAACCGAAAACAGAAAACACCAATAGATCATATAAGATCCACAGGAACTGAAGAGAACGCTGCAAGAACATAAGGCTAATTAATCTACTGGAATGAGATGGAGGAACCAGTGAGACTGGGCGGATAACTGTTACTGAGCGAGACTCAGACTGGGTATTCAGCTATACACCAAACAAGTGAGGTAATTGAGGTAGTGTAATCGGTGATTTCGGAAGGAGGCAGAGAGCTCTGAAACTGAATAGTAGGGATAGAGAGTGGGGGCATTTTGGTGGAATTGCAAGAAGCAGGGAGGGATTTAGGGTTTCTTTCTGGAATCTGGATCGTCCCCACTGCTCAAATTGGGAACAGCAACCGGGACTGTACTGATAGAAAACCCTAGAACATGTGGATCTTTTTCTCTTTTCAGGGAATTCATTTCCAATGTTACAGAGAACATGAATCATCCCAATTCACACTACCGGGAGAAAGAACACGATTCACGCAAAGAGTTCTCTATCCATTGCTCCTCCGCCAAGAGACATTGCCGCCGCTGCAAACAGAAATCTGGAATTTGCCGATGGAAAACATTACTGGAAGAGACGAAGGGGGAGAAGGGAAGAAGGAGAAAGTGAGCGAAGCAATAGAGGAAGAGCCAAACAGACTGCGGCGGCGGACAGAGACCAAGAAAGCAGCAGCAACAACAACAACAATGAAAACCGGATCCAGAAATCGAAACGCCACTTGGCTCATACGACCTCAGCGATCAGAGGAACAAACAAAATGCTGGTCACAAGTCCAACAAGAAATTTGGGGAGAAAAAAGATCAAACACACCTCAAAAGAACCCATGACTCTAAAACACAAAGCAGAATCTCAGAATCATCGAACACAAACTCAAAAAGAAAACCCAGAACAAAGAAGAAGAAGAAGAAGAACGAAAGAGATAAGACGAGGAGTGAGGAAGAAGAGGTCACGGACCTCATCATTGTAACCATAAACAAAACAACTGGAGAGGAAATTCAGATATGCCTCGTCGGAAGAAGGAATGGCTCCTTCCTCGTCTTCTTCTCCTGCTCCTCGTCCGGCTATTCTTGTCCGCCACAAACAAATCACACACCAACCCCCCTTCCGCCGGAAGATTTTGGGTTAGGAGTTAGAAGAGGGAAGAGATAAGGGGCGAAGAATGGAAGGTAGAAGGACGGTGAAAAGGAAAGCGGTGAGAGGAGAGAGCCGAGACAAGAAGGGAGGGGAGAGCAGAGAACAGAATGAAGAAACAGAGGAAGGCACCCAGAGAAGAGAAAAGAAGAAACACACAAAAACAATGTAGGAAGGAGGCGATGAGACGAGGAAGAAATAAACATAGAGAAAAAGTAAAACAAAAATTATATTTAAATAATAAAATACTTAAAACCCCTTATACAGTGGGGGAAGAAGGGAATGGAAAGAGGTAAAGTGAGTTGAGTAAGGTTGTCAAACCGGATTAAGTTATCAAGCCGGTTTGGCAAAAAGTTTAAGGTTTAATGGTTAGATTATGGTTCAATCCGGTTAAATTAATTTTGTTTGACACTGCTTAAAATTTATAATAGACACCTCTTCTCTTACCCTAAATAAATTACTAAAATCCAAACTTTCAAATATTATTATTATTATCCCAAGTCAGCAACCAAATATTATTATTGTTATTATTACTCTTACACTTGTGTGTATGATATTTCTCTTTGCAATTTTCAAATTAAAAAAACCATAAATATAAACAACATTAAAATGGAATTCAATTTTTATTTTACCGCAAGCTGGCCCAAATAAAATGGAAACTCTCTCCTTTTTCGTGCTCTGCAGGAAACCACCGTGATGGCTTCTTCGCCGGCTGGCGAGGGTTCTTCATCTCCGTCGTCCTGGGCAAACCTATTTTCGGTTGCTCCAGCGAAGAGACTAACATATCGCCCACCTGAGAGGGTTAAGGATGGTTTTCGAATTCCACAGGATGTGAAGGAGAAGGGCGCTGAGCGATGGAAGCTGTCTTTGATTGGGCAATTCGTCGGGAAGCGTCCAAAGGCTGCGGAGCTGCAGCCGTGGGCTAACCGGCTTTGGGGGAGGGATGGATTGGTACGTGTTTCGCGTTTTGGTCCTAAGATGTTGGTATTTCAATTCCCATCGAGTTCTTCCTGTGATTGGGTCTTCACTTCGGGGCCTTGGTACCTGGGTGGGAATCCAGTTTTCTTTCGTAAATGGGAAGTGGGTATTCAGCCTATTGAGCCAAAGATCGAAACCATGCCTATCTGGGTTAAGATCTCGGGTTTACCTTTGGAATATTTGGGACAGGATGGAATTGAGTGGGTTGCTAGTACTATGGGGAGGCCGCTTTGGACTGATCAGAAAACTAGGGTTGGAGATCAGTTGGGGTTTTCGAAAGTTTGTATTGAGCTGGCAGCTAATTTTGATTTCCCAAGAAGGATTAGGTTGCATCCAGATGATGACCCTGATTTTGAGATTGGGGTGGAGTATCTACAGTTGCCGCGAGTTTGTTCGAAATGCTCTTTGTTTGGTCATAGTTGCCCTCAGGAGCCTGTTAGAGAATGGCGAGCGAAGGAAAGGGTGGATCAGAAGGTATCGAAGGAAGTGCTGAATTCAACTGATATGGATGCTAGGTTGGTTGTGATTAGTGAAGCTGCTCCTGAAAATGGGGGGATTATTGAAGCTGGTGAGGATGTTGGGCAAAAGGAAGAAGGGTTGGTGGAAGAAGCTGCTCCTGAAAACGGGGGGGACTGTTGAAGCTGGTGAGAATGTGGGGCAAAAGGAAGAAGGATTGGTGGAAGAACTGACTGTTCAGGTGCTGACAGATGATGGGTTGGTTGCTGACTCTAATGTGGTTGCTGAGCCTGTTTTAAGCATTGAGGCGGTTAATATTCACGCTCCTTCATCAACTGGGAGCCCTCCCCTGAGTTTTGCTCAGATAGTTAGAGGATCATCTCCTAAGGGAGGGAGTCCTTCTACTACTGAACAAGTTGCTGAGGTTGACAAGTCACCATCGGAGAACTTGCAGCTCCAACATGCTCAGAGGGGACTGTCCAAAGACAAAGAGAACATTAAGCCTCCAGATAAAGGAAAGAGGGTTTGGATTGACTCTCCGTCGATCCCCTATCAACAGAGGAAAGGAGGTAAGGGTGGTAGAGGAAGAGGAAGGAAATGAGGATTATTACCTGGAATACTAGAGGGTTTAAAGCAGATAGTAAATATATAGCTTTGCTTAAGAAAATAAACAAATATAATATAGACATAGCAGCTGTTCTTGAACCAAGAATAAGAGCCTCTGAGACAGATAAACTAGTTGAAAAGCGATTTCCAGATTGGGAGACAAAGATTAAGCATAATGACTCTAATTTGGGGAAGATTTGGTTGATTTGGAAAAAGGATATTCCGCTTACAGTTTTACATTCTTCTTATCAGTTTGTGCAATTTATGGTGGGGGAACTCAACCATTTTTTGGAACAGTGGTATATGCAGCAAATGATGAGAACATGAGGAAAGCTCTTTATACTAATTTAAAGAGTATTAGAGTTACTACTGCTCCCTGGATTGTGATGGGAGACTTCAACGACATAAGACATCCTTCAGAGGCCTCAAACTCACCTAGAGTTGATGCCCCTATGACTTTATTCAATGACTGGATAACTGAGCTGGAGCTGGAGGAACATCAGGCCGCTAGGCCTTGGTACACCTGGCTTAATAAGCAGGTAGCAAACCTATTGCAAAGCGTCTGGACAAGGTTTTGGTGAATTTCTCATGGATGGATACAATTAAGGAAAGTCGGGTTCATTTTCAGACTCCGAGTATTTCTGATCTCTGCCCATGTATGTTGATACTGCAGCTGAATTAAAGTCGATACCCAAACCTTTTAAAATTTTCAAGTTTTGGATCCATCACCCAAAATTTGATTCGCTCTTAGAGGAGGCTTGGAGGAGTAATGTGTCTGGTCACCCATTGATCAGAGTTAGTCAGAAGCTTAAGAATCTAAAGAACTTACTGAGGAAGTTGAATAGAGAAGAGTATTCAGATCTGTCTGAAAGAGTTAGAATGAAGGAAAAGGAAGTTAATGAAATTCAGCAACATGCCCTAGATGCGCCATCTACTGAACTGTTTGAAATTGAAACCAAAATGGGAATAGAACTAAGAGCACTACTTGAAGTAGAAGAGATATTCTACAAGCAAAAATCTAGAGAGAGTTGGCTTAAAACAGGAGACATGAACTCGGCTTTCTTTCATCGTGTAGTTAGAGCTAAACAGTGTAGAAGCACTATAAGGGTGCTGAAGAATGAAGAAGGGGAGAAAATTACAGATGTTGAAGAGATGGCTCAGGTTGCGGTCAGATTTTATAAAAGGTTACTTGGGGTTGAAGACTCTGAAGTTATTGTCAAGCCTGATGAGTACTATGATGTTCTGCTGAGGAAGAAACTCTCCGAGGAGCAGACTGAGGATCTTTGTGATCCTTTTACAGATGAGCAGATTAGAGAGGTGATATTTGCTATGGATGGTAATAAAAGCCCTAGTCCAGATGGCTTCTCAGCTGCTTTCTTTCAATACGCCTGGCCTCTTATTGGCCCTGAGGTATGTTCTGCCATTAGGTTCTGCTTTGAACAGGATATGATTCCTAGACCTATAAATGCAACAATTCTTTCCTTGATCCCTAAGGTTTCAAACCCAGATGAGATGAAAAATTTTAGACCTATCTCCCGCTGCAATATCCTTTACAAGTGTATTTCTAAGCTCATTGCAAAAAGGCTTAGCCCTCTCCTTCCATTCCTTATCAGTAAAAATCAAACAGCCTTTGTGAAAGGAAGGTTAATAGGAGATATTCTTGGATATACGGGATTTGGGGAATAACTTTGCCTTTACCTTTTACAAATCCAAATACATTTGGAAATATGGTTGATATAAAAGTTGTAGTACTTAAAAAGTTATGCAAAAAAAAAAAATCATGACGTTCGGATTGCGAAACACAAAGTTATGGTTTTCCAAAGTTTGGCAAAATAGAAAACTTACTCGGTCGGGGTAGCAAACGACTTTTTTGGAGATGAAGGCGGGACCAAATGGCTTTTGACTGTTTGCCGCTTGCAAGATCTCGAAAAATTATGCGGAATCAATTTTTTTTCTAAGATCGGATTACGGAGCTCAAAGTTACGTCTGTTTGAAATTTCAGCGCAGATCAAACATTCATCGCGGCCGACAGCCGCGGTGATGCATTCACTGTTGTCCTCTACTGCAATGATGCATTCGCTGCTGATGCATGTCACTGCGTTTGTCGGCCGCAGTGATGCCCGAACATGTGTAGATTGGGAATTTTTCATAAAACATGTGTATTTTGAGAAAAAAAATTAAAAACGTGTGTATTCTGAGATTTTTTCCATCACCCACATCTCTCTGTTTCCTCAATCATCTCAAACGTGACCAACAGGTTTGGGTCGGAGGTTTTTCAAAAGATTTCCCCCGTCGTCGGTGTCGAAAACAGAAGTATCTTTGAATCCTTCGGTAGGAAGTTTTCCCGAATTTGCCGGCAGGAAGCGTAGCCATCCAATTCCCAAAGCCCCTGCAACTGGCCCAACCCTGACTTTATCTGGTTTTGACCAGTGTTGTAAAAAACGAACCAGACATTGATCCGAATTAATAAGAGGTTCATGGTTTATCGAATACTTTTGATTAACTGGTATTAAAACCGGTCATAAACCGGTGCTTGGCTCCAAAAAAGAATAAAAAAGTATAGATTAAGAATAAAAAAAGTCAAACGCTAATAGTGGTGGGCTGTAGGAACTATGGAGTATTCGATTACCTTCTTTCAATTTCATTAATAATTAACTAAAAGAAACAAAAAATTTAGGCGCCAATTAAGTTTTCCCAGCTCGCCCATTTTTTTCCTTCCAGGGCCGGACTTGTGCCCAAATCCAATTTTTACCGATCTGGCCCGATTTTCATAACACTGGTTTTGACCGGCTACCCCTATAATATGACTGGTTGGAGCCATTTTATGTCCAGTTCCAATCGGACCCGGCCGTCCAACCGGATAAAGGTTGACAACCTTGGGTACGAGGTTTATTATTTTCCGCTGAGTATTCTATATTGCCCTTCCTTTCTCTTCCTGTCATCCTTTCGCTGCCACTTCGGATCTTGGCGGAAAATTGTGATTTCTCTTGGGATAATTTCCTAAATGGCCCCAATTTTTATATTGTGGACAAATATTTGTCGAAATTTCAAAAAGATCAAATGACTACATTTAAAGTTTTAGACAAAAAAAATAACATGGTTACGAAATTGATTGTCA